GAGCTATTGTTTTCTTACTGATGCAAGGTGTCATGTGATTCTCCGCATTAGGTTACCGCAAGAACTTTGTTCTGTTGTTTGCTTCATTCTTAGGTGTCATGTTTTTATACATATACTTACCGAAGCATGAGAGCTGAAACTTCTTACTATAAATACTTTTAAATTGTGTTAGTAAATGATCCCCAATGACATACAGTGTTTTGTAATTTCTTTTCCATGCGAGTAGGTGAAGTACAATGAAAATAAATAGAAAGGTAATAAATGCCGCTGTGCGAACACGAGTAATTGGTCAGGCTTCGGGAGGTGCGGGGCCACCTACGGGCCGGGTCCCGTGCGCCGGCGGCGCTCGTCTCGTCTCGTCTCGCCGCCCCGCCGCCGGAGCCCGCGCGATTTCTAAATTTAAGTCCCGTGACCCGCTATAAACGCGAGACGGCGCGAAGGCGGCTTCCGCGGCGTCTGCTAACTGCGACGCTGCCCTCCCGTCGATGCACCCCACCCCACCCCACCCCACCCCACCCCACTCCATCCCAATAGGAGACTCCGCGCTACGCTCTCGGGAAATAAAGAATACGAGAACAAAGCCGCAAATATTGGTCAGTTCGAGGAGAGAAGTCAGTCGTATATCTTTGGATCTCTTCTGTGTCAAATTTCCAGAAAATTAAGAATGTTTTGTTCATAAAGACTTGTGTAAACAAAATTAACTGTTGAGAGCTACTTTTTCAATTTCAGGAGAAATGGTTGGATCTCCTCAGGAGTTTTTCTTGGCAGTTAAATGATTTAATCAATTTTTTATATCAATAAATTACGGGAATTCCGAGTCCTTGGGGTATATCTTATGTCTTCTATATAATTAAAAGTTTTATTTATGGGATCGAAGTTATCTGTTAATAAGGTCTCGAATGCCTGAAGGTAGTAGTTTGGAACTGGAATGTTGTATCGCACTATACAGAGATGATTGGTTCGGCAGTAGGGGAGACGCAAACGATACAAATTTCCGGAGATCTATCATTTTTCGCATGAATTAGTATTTAGTTCGTGTAGTGGTCGTTTCTTCACTTCTGGACAATAAATTTAGTTTTATCTCACTTCCCTCCAAACATCACCCCATGTAAATTACTTTTTTGATGGATGAAATTATTATTAAAATTAATGAAATTGTGTGTAAATAATAACAAAGGTAGAATGGAGAAATTGGGTAAAGTGTTACATTTTCTGATACCTCGTTTGATTTCCCTAAACTAGTCCCCACACTACCGTAATCGTTTGCTCCAAAGCGCTTCAACGAATTGGTTGCTGTAGTCGTCTTTGAGACTTTGCTCGTTAGTGCTACTAACTCTTGAGAGATGTCAAATTAGGTGGCATGTTGCAAAATGTTCGTATTAACGTTTGTTTTTCACAAGAGTTTGATAACATCTGCTGGAGGACAAGAGAGAAGAGAATAACCCGATTGGACATATCGCGTCCTTCTCGAAGGTATCCCCCATATCTTTCTGTGTCGTAGAGATGTAATACTTCCGCTCTTTCTCTTGCCCTCAAAATCGTACCTATTCGAACAATTCGATCTTCTCTAACTAAATATGGGAAAGGCAACGTATTGCTAAAGTTCATCTTTGTATGCCTTTTTCTTCTGTATACATTTAGAGCTTTCTTTCCATTTCGAGAAGACAAGCTGAATGGAATTCTCTTACTTACTCGTATGTATGCACATAGTCTCGATTCTTCATCTTCCAGGACGCAGTACTGAAATACCTATTCTTGATACAGTGTGATTAGAAATGAGCAAATTTGTTCCACCAAATCGACCTTGTGTATCTCAAGTATTAGTTGGGATTAAATCTAGAGAACCGCATAGAACTGCAATTTTTAATTGCAGAACCTCGTAGTTTTGTCTTGTTCTGGGGGTTTACCCAACCTTTCCGTTATCGCGATACCTTTCATTCGCTCTGCGTATTTGAAGGTATCCCCGTGGAAAATGTGTCTGGGTTTTGAAAGATATGAGGGCTCCCTGACTCGCCATCAGTTTCAAATGGATTTTTTTAGAACTGCGATGTGTAATACACATCGATTTTTTTGCCTACAAGAGAGGGAGATTATTTACCCATTTTAATTATCTTGTGACGCTGCACCCAAAGAAAAGGCTCCAGGCTGTGTGTATTCTCGTTTTTGTGGTACGTACTTCGTGACTTGCCTTTAGGACTCGAAATGGCAATTTTCCAGTGTGTGTGTGTGTGTGTGTGTGTGTGTGTGTGTGTGTGTGTGTGTGTGTGTGTGTGTGTGTGTGTATGAGGGGAGCATTCAGTATTCTGGATGATAATCGAAGAATTGATGAGTCAGACGAATCATCTTCGCTTTCGCAGCAGTCTGAAAAAACCCTAAGAATGATCTGGGGAATATGTTTTTGCCCAATTTGCTGAATTTAGATTTCTTAGTCTGAATACTTATAAAGTATGGAAAATGATACTTGAAACTCTTCATAGCGATTGATTGTATTCTTGGCAAGGAAAAATTAATAATTTTCTGAAAGGGGACTCTAGGGAGGAACCATCCGCCCCCGCCCCTGCATGAATTATGTCATTTGCAAAGGGGAAGGAAACGTTAAATGTAATCTTCCTCATAAATTCACAAACGGGTATTACTCTTTTGACGTGAAATAAATAGGGTCGGCGAAAAGTTGACCCATTAGTGATCTATTAGCTTTCCGAAGTCGAATTTCTGCAATTTTTCGTATCTCGCTCTTCGATTTTTTTTTTCCTTCACTTCATGTTCGATACGTTCAGATTCCGTTTTGAAATGGGTTGTTCCAAATAAACTTATTGGTAACTCGAAATTTGGCCCCATGTATTTACTTATTTGCTATCACGTCAGGATGTGCCCGATGGAAATAATAATTTCCAAGTCCCCTCAACCTCAGGAGGAAATCATTGGTTTGCGAGAAATATTTTTGTTATATATATATATATATATATATATATATATATATATATATATATATATATATATATATATACATACATACATACATACATACATACATACATACATATATACCCATATAATTCCCAAACAACCAGGAAAATATTTATTTCGAGGGCTGACCATGATTATAATTCCAAGAAATAAGATCTGTTCTGTTCTTCATGATCTGTCGGTGCGTAGTTGGATTGCGAGCCGTGCGTGTGGCAATGCGAATGGAGGCGCGCTCGCTGGGGCGCACGCGCCACTGGCTCGGCCTTTGCGCGAGGCTTCGCAGTCCCAGTGCGGAGGCCGATGCTGCCTTTTTTTTTATCTCCCCCCGACCTTTTGTGCTCGTCTCTTTAGCCTGCGACGCGTCACATACGTAGGAGCTAGCCTGGGCGAGCGGCGGTGCGTTCAATTCGAAATTGTCAAAGCGCGTTCCGGCGTGGGCGCGGGAACTAGCTTCGCCGTCGCCCCCTCGGGCCTCCGCCCACCGCCCACGCCCACGCCCCCGCCCCCGCCCCCGTCCGGTCACAATGTGTAGCGGGCGTTGCGGCGCCGTCGGACCAGGGCGAGTTGTGGGTCTTAGCGACCTCCTGTCATGTGTCTGTAGGCACACGCGGTATTTCTATCCTCTCCGGAATGGTTGGTCCAACGAGCGAAGAAGTTAGTCGTGATCTCAGGGTCCATTTGAGTATTATTTTTATTTGTTGTATGGTATTGGTATCAGCTATGCATTAGTGGTTTTTTAATGTTAATGCATCCTTGCATTTTTCCCCCTTCCAAAACTGAATATTGCGTATTCAATTTCATGAATTTTCAAATGAACTCTTAATGGTGTAAATTTCATTACAGATTTTTTCTTTTGCGTAATACAAATTTCTTAGCAGTTAGATTAATTATGTTAATTGAAGAATTCTAGATTTCCGTAATAAGGTATTACAACTTTATATTATCTGTGAACACATTTTTGTGCAAGTAACACAAGATATTTAGCTTAACTTTAGTGGTGAAAATCATCTACAACCTGCCATGTATCCTAACCCTCTACATACGAAGCTGTAAATGTAATGCTAAATACCAAGCGGGGTACACGTGTACCCAACACTAATATTATGTAAGATTTCTTTGAAATAACTAAAACTATGCTAAAACATAACTAAAATATAAACATTTTGATTATATTGATCATGGTGTAAGACAAATTTCATAGAAATAAGTAATTTTATTCCTATATTCCTCTTTTATTACATCAATACACTTCATCAAAATACTTCTTGTAAGGTTATTCCTGTTTTAGGCAGCTGATGCATATTTTTATTGTTTTTGTATATGAATGTTCATTACATATAAAGGGTGAACACTTAATGCATCTTGTTCTACTCTTTCTATCCCTGTTTCTAATAATTAATAAAGAATTAAAAGTGACTAAGTAAAAATACCAAGCAGGATACAAATGTACTCCAGTGCTTGTTTTTAAGGAGAAAACCTAAAACACCTTACAACTATTACTTTCTTTAAGATGTAATTGTCAATGACAGTATTTCGGAGAATGTAACGGATTTAAATATCACAAAATAAGCGAAATGGATGCAACAAGTGAAATAGTGAGATTGGGATACACATTTACCCCGCTTGGTATGCAAAGGGTTAATATATTTTTATAAAAGTAAACAACATTTTTAATTGATATATATTGGAAAAAACTATTCAAACTAAACTGCAGATACCTAAAATCAAGTTGTCAGTACATTGTTTGGGAAGCCCACCTCAAAAAATTGTCTTTATCACTTGAATTGTGCCACAAGATTCTTAGAAATCTTATAAGTGCCTGTAAAATTGTGCTAATGGCCACGATCATTGAACCTCTGTGCATCTTGTAAAACTGATATCATGGGATGTGGCCAAAAGCATTGAAATCAGCATTGTCTCTTGTGGTAGTTTTACTAAATATTGACAAGTTGCTAACCTTTGTTTATACTCAATTGTATTTTTAATTCCAACCTTGTTGAAAGTTTCTTACAATGCATTCAATTTGTGTTCAGGGCGACGCCATGCACCGTGGATTCGGTCGCAATTCCTACGATGGCAAGATCGCAGGTCTCTACGACCTGGAAGAGACGCTGGGTCGTGGTCACTTCGCAGTTGTCAAATTGGCCCGCCATGTGTTCACTGGAGAGAAAGTTGCTGTGAAAGTAATTGATAAAAGCAAGCTGGATGAAATATCTCGGGCACATCTGTTCCAGGAAGTGAGTTCAATTCTTTTTGTCATTTAGTATGTAAACATGTGTTTCCTACTTAATTTTAATTCCGAATTCTGAAAGAATATGAAGCTCAAAAGACATTTGTGGATAAAACTTTACAGCTCAAAGTAAACCTCAGTGGCTAGATGCATTATGCCCACTGGCCTGCCCTGTCATATGGTATCTGGTATTGCAAAACAAGCATAGCAAAATTATTTAAATGCATGGAAATCATTTGGAATAGGAAAACAGGCTGATTTATGAACATGTTTTCTTTAAAAAAAAATAGCGTAATTTATGGTTCAATTTTCATATGTCATTTCCTAGTGGAAGTATTCATTTAAAATTAAACTAGATTCATTACATACAATGGCAGAACCAGGACTTTTTTAGGGAGGGCTATAAGTCTAGCTGACAAAATTAGGAAATTTAATTTTGCTAAATTAAAAATTTATTCTTATTTGTTAGTTTATAAATATTTATAATGTGCTCAACTTAGATATTGGATGATTTACTTTATTAATAATTAAATTTAAAATTATTAAATATTAGGGAGTTCAAAGAGCATCCAAGCTCCCAACCACCCCAATCCCCAGTTGCATGGTTACAATATTGTTTACATTTCATTGTGTGTTGGTTCCTACTAAATTATTTTGATTATCAACCGTATTGTGTTTCCCATTTTGTTTTTAAAGGTTCGATGTATGAAATTGGTTCAACATCCAAATGTGGTGCGCCTGTATGAAGTAATTGATACTCAGACCAAATTATACTTGATTCTTGAGTTGGGAGATGGAGGAGATCTGTATGATTACATAATGAGACACGAAGGTGGTTTGGGAGAAGAACAAGCTCGAGAATACTTTCGACAAATTGTGCGTGCCATTTCATACTGTCATCGGCTGCATGTTGTTCATCGAGATTTAAAGCCAGAAAATGTTGTCTTCTTTGAACGCCTCGGTATGGTGAAACTCACGGATTTTGGATTTAGTAATAGATTCAACCCAGGGCAGAAATTAGAGACCTCTTGTGGGTCCCTTGCTTACTCAGCCCCTGAGATATTATTGGGCGATTCATACGACGCTCCAGCAGTAGGTATGTTGAACATTACTGTTGAGATCACAGTTTTAATGTCATGGTACATTCTTTTCTTATGATTTACTCGATTGATAAGCAAATAAAGTAATACATTAAATACAATTATGTTATTAAGTTGTCTATGTGATCCAAAATAGTTGGAGGATAAACAATAATTTAAATTACAGAAAACTTTATTGTTTGATTTGCATTATGTTCTTAGATGTGTGGTCGTTGGGAGTGATTCTGTACATGTTAGTCTGTGGTCAAGCACCATTCCAAGAAGCAAATGACAGTGAAACACTTACCATGATAATGGACTGTAAATATACCATTCCAGTTCATGTCTCTGAAGCATGCAAACGGTGGGTGGTGTACAAGCTTTAGTAAAAATAATTTTGAAATATTGTTTCAAATATTATCACATGCTGGGGTCACGATGTGAAATGTTAATGATAACTTAATAAAGAAATGAATCCTGCTTTTATTTGTAGATTAATAGCTCGCATGTTAATTCGTGAACCTGAGCGCCGAGCAACTCTTGAGGAGATAGCAGCTGATCCTTGGTTGGGTGAAGATCTCAATGCTGAACCTGCTGACTTTCTGCCTCTTATATCCCGTGAACATGTATCAGATGAAGACCATGCACTTATAATACAGAAGATGGTTAATGGAAATATAGCAAGCAAAGAAGAAATTTTAGAGTATGCAGCTCTCCACCTAATAAATGATTCTTTAGGATTGATAAACAATGTATCTTTTTGTTAAATATTGCTTTATTCTCTCCTTTTTTAGAGCTTTGGATAAAAATGAATACAACCACATTACAGCCACATACTTTCTTCTTGCTGAGAGAAAACTACGAGCACATCGCCAAGAACAAGCACAGAGAATACGACAAGGACAAGGAGTTGCTACACCTTCTCCTCTTCAACAAAGGTATGAATATTTTAGATTATTATAAAAAATTATTCATTTGGTCTAAGAGGCTGATAAAATAGAAACCCATCCAGAGATCATATCCAATCCCCTTTCCCTCTTTTTTACCCTTGAATTCTTGACTCCTACGTAATGCCAGTCCTTGCACATTGTTGTAATTCCACTTCAGTATAATGCAGTTTGTATTGTATATATGTTTATCAATATTACTAAGCATAAACCTTATAAATACAACTATATTATAGTACACATGTACTCATTTATTTTTGTTTTTATTAATTTTTTATTGGTCCTCTGATTATTTATTTAATTGAACATATTCTGGTCCCATGGGTGATGGCTATGAGGAGTTCTACTTTATAGATCACCTTCCAGTGATGGTTATTCAAAATTGAATATGCCAAAAAGAGAAGTCTGATGCTGGCTTCTTAAAGTCAATCCGTGAAAAAATATTAATCTCTCTTCCAAATAATTGGAGGATGTTGTGCATGATATTTTTGCCAATATGGTTCATTATTGTTACTAGTTTAAACTATTAAATCAGTAAATGTAAGAAACTATTTATTAAAAGCCAAAATTAAGCTTTTTGAGAACTGTTTCCACTCATGACATTGCAGTTCACCAAAACTTTTTAATGTTAATATCAACATGTTTTTCACATCAAAGCTTTGATAAAGTTTTTATGTCTTATGTATACATATATATCTAGAAAACAAATTTTGCTAAATTTTCAAATTGCTTTCTCAAAACACTCTATTCTGTCTTTCTGAGTACTTCTTGGACAACATTGTTATAAAATAGGTGCAAGTATCCCTTTCCTTTCTGTATGTGATTGATAATTTCAGTATTTTGGCATCTTTACATGTCTCTCATTGAATGATGGGAAGAAACATACATCTCAGAAAACTCTTCTGATGATATCATAACAAAGAAAAAAAATATCGCTAGGAAAAATGTTCAAAGCTAGAGAAACAACTACTGGGTGAAACAAGATACTGTTGTGGTTTTTAGTTATTTCCCCAAGACATTTGTTGTGGCATGTAACTGAAAGAGCATTACTCTAGTTAAGCTCTTTTTCCAACTTACCTTTCAACAGAAGTTTAGCAATCATACTGAAAAGAGAGAAGAGAGGTTTCTGTATATATTTCATTCATTGTTACTTCTGTGAATGTTGTATTGTGAATGAATAAGTTAAATACAAGATTCTAAAATTGTTTCTTGTTATTTTAGTCTTCTTCCACTAGCACTACAACAACGCTTAGTGGGTCTTGGCTTTCTGGACTATATTATTTTAATTTTTCATGTCTACTACAGTCTTTTCTTTAAATATCAAGAGGTCCTGGCACACTTTATCCATCCACCGAGTTCTTGGTCTTCCTTTCTTTTGACAACCTGTTACTGTCCATTCCATATTTTTCTGTGGGAGCCTACTTTCTTTGCGTTCTTTGCATATGGCCTATCCACTTTATTCACTGGGCTTTAATGAATTATATTATATCAACTCTCTTCTGTGACACACATACAAATATTAATGTAGATATTTTAAGTAATGTCTCTAAATGAAAAATGTAACTTCACTAACTATATTTTTATATTATTTAACAGATAGAAAATAATAAGTTTTTGAAATTTATTTCAGCAAACCGCTGGTAAAAGTTGATAGCAGCCTTATTCAAGAGTCCAACTCTCCAAATCTTGTGAATCAATCTCAGCTTAATACATCAAGAACTCCTGGAGATGCCCCTCAGGTTGAAATTTTATTTCTTATTTTTAGCCATTTTGTTGTTTACCATATACTTAAATTTTATTTACGGGAACTAGATACAAAATGGACAGAAAAAAGTTATTCTCATAAATACAATTTTACTCTAATTAGGTGGTCGAGGGGGAATGCAATAACAAAAATGATAGGAAAATCTTGTATTTTTATTCAGCAATATTGACATCATAAGAAATAATTTTGTTTTTGTAAACTTTATTCAGGGGAAGGAAATCTCTATAATATTTTCTACAGACAAAATAAAATATTTATTTAACATTTTTTCTGAAAAAGTTATGTGGATTTAATTAATCTGAGTATGATTGACATCGGTAATAAATTTCAATTCTCAACATGACCAAAATTGAAGTTTTTGCTTATTGCTTTTCCATTTTCATCATTGTGTCTATTCTTTTGGAAAATTATATCAGATGACCATTTTTTGAATTAAAAAAAGAAGAAAAAGAAAAGAAAGTAAAAAAACTTGAAGATGCACAGAAATCAAAGCACAAATAATGAACAGGGAAAATCCCAAAGCAATCGCTTATCATGTCAAAATGTGCGTTTTGGTTAAAGTCTACTGTAATATATCTGAAATTGATAGCTAAGTCATTGAAGGCTGTTCATCTAGTGAATAACAATGTTAGTTCAACCATAGTTATGTAGTAGAGAAGTCAATTGTTGAGGCTTGTAAGCTGAATTTCTTAATCACAAATTGAACCAATTGTGTGTAACAATTCCGATAATAACTTATTTGTCATTTTGAAAGATATTAGAAATAGTTGAAAATTAAGGTTTACCTAAAATATTTATTCTACAATGTTGTGGTAATGTTATCATTGCCAGACTTCACTCTGATATCAACTGTTACAAATTGCTCATGAAGAAAACAGATTTCACTTTACTAATACAGCATTAGGCTTCAAAGAAAAAGGTGTGTAGGATTTTTCTTCAAAATTTAGCCATCTTTTTACCTAATCATACCTGAGTACCATTGCATCACAAATTATTTGAATGCCATTTCTTATCAAATTTACTGCAGAGATACTAACAAGAAATGTTTAGAAAAACTGCAGGGAAAACATGAGAACATAGCTACTAACTCCAGGCTCCGCGCCTGGAGTTAGTAGCCACATGGCTGTCCAGGAGAGACCATGTCCTAGGCATTGATGCTAATGTATTGGCAACATTTCACCCTGGGGAAGGTCGCAGAATGCAGGCGGCTGAAACATTGGCACCGCTGCCTAGGACATTTCCCTCTACAAATTCTTCCACACCGTCAAGTACCTTCAGGGAAAACAGATTCACAAGACCTTTTGAATAAATTTGATTCTACTTAATTAAATGTTAACATTGGATTATTGAATTTTAAAAAATATATTATGTATTATAATATTTCAGTATATTATTTGATTATTATTTACATTTTATGTATTTTATTTTCAGAACTACCGTACTCGGAAATGTAGTATTGTGCAAGAGGAAGAAGATGAGGATGAAATGAGTGCATGCTCTGGTCGAGAGGACCTTACTCCCCCTCATAACTCTCTCAACAGGCGAGGCTCTCGGTCAGAAGGCCGTTTGAACGTTGCCCTGCAGGAGAGGCTGGCTGAATCGGAGCGAAGAAAAGACAAATCTCAGCCAGTTCCTTCGCCACCAGCTCATGCAATTTCTAGAGGTGCTACAAGAGATGACATTGCTACTAGGAAATCACCTTTGAACACCTTGGACAACAGACCCAGGTCTGCAGTTGAATCAGCAAGTATAGTAAATACTGCAGCAGCATACATTCCTGGCAGTACAAAGTGGCGCCCTGTTTCGAAGCAATCGGTTTCAGTTGTAGCTCAGACAGTGAATCCATCCTCTTTACCTCTAGTTAAGATTTCGTTAGCTCCCGTTACTACTACACCTTCAACTACTACTTCCATCATTACAGAAGCTTCAACCATATCGATACCTATTCACTCCTCATCATCTGGTGCTACTCTTCTACCAAAATATAAAACTATGCCTTCCCCTACACGGCCTGTTCATTCAGTTCTGAGTTCCCCTCAGTTGGCACTGAATGAAATTTTTGAGGAAGGTGACGGTATGACAGCTGAATCAATAGGATCTCGTACAAACTCACGTGCTTTCTTAAGCAGACAGCCAGGGCATTCACGAGCTGTAGGTTATGAACAACGTCGGACCAAATTTCACAAAGCTCGAACAGCATCTTGTAGTTCCTCAGATGCTAGTGATGATGACAGTGAAAGCCGCAAAAAGAGGGCCCACAAATTAAGTGGGACAGGGAAGTCTCTGTCTCAAAGGCGAGATTCTCATGACGATTCTAGTGATTCACAAGATCCTGGAGGAAGTGGTGGAGGAGCAGGGGGTGGTTCTGGCAGTGGGGGCACACGTGCAGGAACTGCTGAGTGCACAAAGGGCCAAGCTCCGTCTCATAGTGCAGGTGTTTCAGAAGGCTCAAGGACGTCTTCAGGGAATAGTGGGAGTGGTGGAAGTAGTCGACGACAGTGTGGTGGAGTGTCGCAGCAATCACCTCTTGGACGTCATCATCGTACTGGTCGAAGGAGACCTGCTGAAACAAGACTAAGAGAAAGCCAGTCATTAAATCGCATCACTGAAGTGCAAGAAGCAGAACATGCTCCTTCTCAAATATGTCATAATCATACAAACAATGTCATGATAGTCACTTCTACATCATTATCTTCAAATTCCTCTGCTTCTGCAGTTTCATCTCATAAAGTGCGTGGTTTTGGTGCTCGCCTGCTTCAGGGCTGGTCCCTTGCAGGTTCATCATCTAAAAAAATTGCATCATCAGAAGGAAAGTGTGATTCGCATAATTGTTCTATTTCTCAAGACAAAACTTCTCGAAGGTTGACAACAGATCGTTCTGATGATACCTCCTCTTTGAGAATTGCTCACACTCTGAAAGTTGAAAAAGGAAATAGTTTTAATTGTAAGAGTGGAGGATTGATTGATAGATCAGAAATTCCATCTGATTCGCGAAAGGCAGTGAATGATAGTTCGAAAACAATTTCTATACCACTTTCCAACTGCTGCACAGAAGAGAAAGAGAATTGTTGTAAAACTAATACAACAAAGTCCACAGAAAAACAGAAAAGCAGTGGAAGTAAAAAAGGAAGATTATTAGGTCGTTATTTTCAAGTTCATAAGAAACTCTGTTTGCCTCTTCCTGGTTTATTTGGTAGAGGTCGACTTTATAAAGCCCAATCTTGTGGGTCAATAGTGCGAGATCATGTAGCTCCCCCTTCACCAGCTTCGCTTCTTCTTTGTGGAGATGAAAGATGGTGTCCAATTGCTGGGAAGATTTCTGGATCAACTGCAGACCCTAGTGAAGATAGCAGAAAGATGGTGAGTAATATCTCTGAACGGAATGAAGATTGTAATTTAAAACTCAGACGAGTGTCCAATGATACCAAGGCTGATGGTGTAGTTCCTTTTCAATCATCTTGCCTGTGTGTTCGATTGTGCTACTTCTCTGCTTGTGAGGCTTCAGATTTCTCTCAGTTTTGTTAATTCTAAGTTTGGTGGTGATTTTTTTTCTGCGTAAAATTGTTAGAAGTGCATGAAATTTGGTGTCGTTTGAATGTATATGTATTTGTAAATACTTATCTGGAATGGTTCTTTTATTATATTGTCAGTGTTGAAAGATAGCATTCTGTCTGATGAAAACTGTAAATATTGTTTACTTTCAGTCATCAGTGGTGTAAATGAAGCTCTGGGAATTCCTAAGTAAGGAACAAAATATTTGTCAAAGACTTAGGACAAAACATTTGTCATCTATGCAGAGGCTGCATCTTACTTGTAATACACTAAATTTGAGAAACAGAATTTTCTTGAAAGTGATAATATTATCTACTGATAGTAATGACCTAATTGGTTCCTGGAGCATCATCATTTCACAAATGTGAATAGCAATGAACAGGTGGTGCTCACTGCACACTTAGAAATTCTGTGTATACAGATGGAATAAGTGACAAACTAACTTTCAGTAATATTTATTTCATGAATTGCAAAATATTATTGGAAATTGTGTGTATATTTTCGTTTGTAGTACTTGTTATGTATTACTTTTAATGTTTTCTTTGGTAAGAAAGTTGCTTCAAATTTTGCTTATTTGCATTCTTGTCTGTTCAATTGGTTGTGAACAAACTTTTGAAGTATTGAAACATCAACTTGCGATGCATGTTGGTATGGGCAGTGTCATACTTACATGAACTATATCTTGATGTATAATATTTAACGTGTGGTATGCTTGGTGTTCCATTTTTGTATTTGCATTATCTTCCCCTAATTTTCTTGAAAAGTGCAGAACTGTATTTGGCATACAAATGCACAGCTTGTTTTGTTTGTTACAAAATGTATCTCAAATATTTATTAATTTCTTCTTTCAGCATTCTCTATAAAGATTGTTTTGTTATATTTTATAAAAAACAGAATTATTAAAAATTATTGTGTGTTTCAGAACTCTTGTAATTTTGCTTTTCAGTCACATACAAGATGAAGTTATTTTAGAAAAGAACATTGAAAAAGAAATGGAAAAATTAATTTTTAATACTTGTTTTTAATGTAGATGAAGTTATCTGAAATCATCGCATTTCCTTTAAACACTGATAAATGATGATAAATGTGAATACACATTAAGATGTAGATTTTGTTGGCCTAATTGTTTCAATTGTATTGCATTGGCCTAATTTGCTTGCATATTTTTGCTGTTATAAGTGACTTTTTCATTTTATGTTAGACAAGAATTGGATTCACCTTCATGTTAATTGAAATGCAAATTGAAAGCACAAGTGCATTGAATTTTAAGCTGCGTGTCCATGAAGCACTGCTACATCACAAAGTTTAGGTGCAGGAGAAACTTAGCTTCATGCTAGGGAGGTTCTTTTGCTTCAGTCGAGTCTCGAACTAATGTTACTGATAAAGGTGTTGGTTTATTCAATTGATTCTTATTGAACTAATGCTAGGCAAAATGGGCCAAAATCCATGAATATCCTTGCCACACTGTCCAAATGCTTTATATATCACAATTTTTCAATTTTCTGTGCCTTCCTCCACCAAGAGAACCTTTTTGAATGAAAGACCTCCGAAGGCTGATGTATTATCAGCGTGACTTAATAAACTCTTAAATTATTTTTCTTAATATCATGAGTGTTTTTTGGAAGCATTATTTATATTCCACATATCCCTTCCCTTGCAAATCAAACCAAATTGTTTATGTTGCCGTCTATTAATCTGATTAATTTTTATAACACACAGTTCTCTTTCTGGAGGAATTTGGTGAGGTATTTGAGGTTTCATTAACAATTAATACTTTTGTATCATTTTTAATCTTGCTCTGGGCAAAATAAAAATTTTGTTGAGAGATAGAAAATAATTTTGCAGTTTATATTTCTTGTTTACATCATATAGTTATGAACTGTATAATTTTTCTCTGATTATCAAAGAAGTTCTTTGTATAAATTATTTAATTTTCTTTTCCCATTTACTCATTTGAATGTGCAAGGAGTACAAAATAATACTAAGGTTCTTATTTGCAGGGAACCTAACAGGAAACACAAAAAATGGCCATCATGGTGATCACTTCTGTCTCATAATTACTGCCAACGTTTAGTCATCCTCAAAATCCAACCGGATAATTAACTGTGTTAAAAGAGGGTTGTTTGTAAAATAATTACCTTTTAAATAGTAAGTATATAACTTGCTGATCATCTAAGAAGGTACAACTCTGCAGACAGTGGGAATTGTATTTTACTTCATCACATCATGTACATTGAAATAAGCTTCATGTATTTATTAATTGTATATATTATTTGATTCATATTCATGAAAGCCCAGTTATTTTACATCTGTACAGATTTTTGTGTGTGTAAAGACTGTTTTTCTTTTCTTATATTTTAACTGATTGTTCATAAGTCATTACATTGCAAAAATGTATCAGATAATTTTTTTTTTTTTTTTGTTGTTTCTTTTCTTGCATATAAATTTATTGTGTAATTTGAGGAAGATAGGCTCTGAAACACACTTTCTTTTTTTTTAATTCTTGAGGTCAGCTCATTTGTGAGCTGGTCCATTATGAACATGATTGTTCAGAGCAAGGTATTATAAAAGTGTAAAGAAAACAGTAGTGGATTCAGAGCGAATGGTAAATTCACAACATTGTAAGACAGGAGAAAAGTTCCTCATGTGGAAATATATATATATATAGAGAGAGAGAGAGAGATTTTATGACAAAAAATACTTTCTGTGCTTATATTGAAAGTTTATAATAGATATGAATGTCAGTTCGGTGACACTGTAACTGATTCCAAGTAGACTTAAATTTCCAAAACTGAAACAAAAATACTCAAAGAAGGAAAGAGATGAGTTAATTCATTGCAGATGATCAGACGTTTGCCTCTGTGGGCTTTTTGTTTCCTGAATGCCAAATAATGTTTTAGTGTATTTCTTCTATTTCTTCATATTATTTCAATTGTCTGTAGAATAATAATATATTCTAAATTACTTTAAGATGTAAGCCATATTTAAGTTATAACTGCAAAAATTGTAGGAATAATGATCCAGTCAGCCTTTTTGCAAGTGTACAGTGGTATAAATAAATTTAAAGTTAAATGTGTTAAAAATTATATAGTATATTGACTTACTTCGTTAAATCTATTGTACAGCTTTTCTACTATAAATATATCTTATATGTTAAGGTAAGCTATTGTAGAATTGAAAAGGTGTGCTACTTAATTTCCAGAAAATGGGCCTCTCATTTTATTTATCAACATAATATGTATGTTTGTTTTCTTTCTTTTAAAATATATTATCAACAAGATGTAAATGTTGTACCACAATACTTTGAGTTTCGGATTTTTGTAGATTTATGGAGATCCTAAAATAACTCATCTTATTCACATTATTAAAAGAAAATTTGTAAAAATTAATCTGTACCACTGTGCACTTGCTTAATAATTTGTTGAATTTGAGTTCTGGGGCTATTTTTTATATATGTATGTGTGTGTATTGTTTAAAAAACTTGTTGACATTTTTCAGCATCTGTCTAGTCATCCTAACATAGAGTACATTTCTCACTATTTCCTTTAGATGTCTTAGAAAAATATATTTCATAGATTTTTTTTTCTTTCTTTTCTTTTTTTTATATAATTAATGCTATACATTTTTATAATTCCTTGGAATTTTCCTTTATACCCTCCTGAGAGGAATAAAAAACAATTTAAAGATAATTGATATTAATGAAATGGTATATGTTTTAAAAACAATTACTGCTTGGTTTGATCATTTGTCTCCATTTACTTTGTACTGTCTAGTGTTGACTATTTTTCCACAGAATTGCAAAGTGTTTATTTTAATTTTTAAAGTTTCTTACTTTTTGTTCTATCCATCCTAACTTTATTGAAATATTTTGCAAGTCATACCATAACAAGATTATTGTTCTTTTTCCTTTTCATGAAATAATTGTTTACTGTTCCCACTGGTTCACTTTCTGACTCTGTGGTAAAATTTCAACATCCTAGTTGACATGTGGTGAAGTCATTTTCTCGTAAAGGTTGTAAGTTATTAGGAGAGTGAGTTACCTCTATTAATTCACAACAATGAGGTACATCTTGGATTCTGAACCATTATCTTTGAGTCAAAATGTGTATTTCAATAATAGAATTTTAATATTCTTACAAGATTTCTTGAATTTTTTTATAAAATATTTATTCAATTCTCATTCATTCTTATAAGCAAGAAAATCCCTTGCCCTTGTTTAATTTAATTTGTTGAGGAGGCATATATTCATGTAGTTCAGGAGATCATAATATTAGTTCAGAAAAAGGTTTTCTCACAGCTGGGTTGATAATTGACCTGATGACCACCCTGACCTTGACCACCTCACAGCTGGGCCATAATTGACATGATGTTTTATTTTTCAAAGCATTGAAAAATGTTTAAGTATAAATCTACAATATTGCTATTGTAGTTTTGTTTGTTTTAAAATTCAAACTTTAGAATAAGTAATGCCAAACGTTACCTTGTTTAATTTTTAATGTTGATCTCTCTTCACTGACACTCACTCTTAAGTTACATCTATGTATGGAAGCGTAAAATGTTTTGGTATTCCTTTTTTCATTAAAATTACTATAGTGAAATTAATTATGAAATACAATTATAAGGATTATTTTTGGATTTGTCTGGATACATTTCAGTTAACTTCTTCTCTGTGAAAAACCTACTGAAAAGTTTATAAAATATATTTTTGCTTCTTATTTCAATATAATTTTTCTATCAACTTAAATCACTGCTTTGGGGAGTTGAATTCATATGAAAGTATCTAAATTTTACTTTGTTTTGTATTTCCTGCCTTCCTTCACTCTCTCTCTTTTCCTTCTACTTCTCCTCTCTCTCCCTCCCTCTCTCTGCCTTATTTAAAATATGATTGTTATTTTCATTTGTCAAACACATTACTGTGATTTAAAAATTTCATTTTGAATGTGTACAATGTTTGTTGCTGTCAAATTATTGTTTTATAATGCATCAACGTGTGTTCAAGAAATAATGAATCATATTTAAGGCTGTTGTGTGGAGTTAAATGTTCTTAGAAAATTTGCTGAAACTAACAGTTTGTCTGAAGTTATTCAATTTTTACGAAAAAAAAAAAAAATAAAATTCAGTGTTGCTTACAACACTGGCAACTTCATGTGGTGGAATCACAAAACTCACCTTTCAAATAATAAGTGTTTCTAGAGGTGATTTACTTACTCGGGAGAAAGTGAATTGTGTTTAATATGTTAGGGGTAATTAAGGACATTGATGTACCAGAAATGTCTTCCATTGATTGTTAGAAGTGTTGACTCTTGATATCAGTTCTCTTGTGTGTTTAGGCTTTTCAGAAGTAATGTGTCATACTTTTGAATTCATCCCTTGTTGATGTAAATTAACCGTGTCTCATTTGTTAACCTTCTACAGTTCTCACAGTCTTTTTTTACTTCTGGATAATACACATTGTTTCTTGTCTTTCCTTTTATTTATGTTGGGACCATTTTCATCAGTCACATTGTGTAAGTGGTTTTAAATGTTATATATATATTCTGAATGTCGTGAATATTCAGCTCCATAGTCATAAATTACCCTAACTAAACCCTTGCTGTTCTGCATTTATGAATAGCACTGCTTGGTGCTCCAAATAGCCCAATGGAATAAATTGTAATTAACAAGTGTTGTATTTGTGTATACCATAAGAACTAACTGTGTAAATTGCTGATACAAAATGTAACTTTAAATTGAAAAATGAAGTGTGAATATATATTTATTAATATGTACATATAAAATTTTATTATTATTGCTTCCAATTAGGTTCTTCTATTATTTTTTTTAAAATAAGTTTTTGCTCATTAATGGTAATGCGAACTTTTTAAAAATTTTAATTCATTTTTGTTTTAAATTATTTATAGAAAACATTCGACGTGCAAGTTTTACCAAAATATTTTATCTTGCTTAATTTTATTATTTTTTAGATTTATGAAAGATAATTTTCTGTAACACTGTTTGTGGCCTTCCAGAACAGTACAAATATAATTTCCATTAAACCATAACAATTGAGGATTTATTTTTAGGCAGAATATTTCTCTGACTACTGCAGTTTTCACAATTTGTTTGCTATAATTATGAACCAAATATGGTGTATCAATCAGTTTAATAATAGCAGGATTGATATTGTTTTACAGTTAGGGTAGTTAAGTTGAGTGATGAGGTGAATTTTATTTCTGTATTTCTTTGAATACAATTTGAATGCTGTGTCTATTGCAAATGAGCATTGTGAACATTTTTGAGATTTTCGTAGAATAGAGTGTTTTTATACTAAGTGTAATTCAATACAGCTGGTCTGGATATGTCAGTGAAAATGATTGTTGTTGGTTGTGTCATTCCCCAACTCCCGAATTTAACTGTGTAGATGAATGTGCATAGTTAATATAAAGTACTGTTGTTTATGATCTGCTCAGTTACTGAAAAGGTAGATATTTTGGTTAGTCTAGTATTCCCTTACAAATTAAAATACATGAAATACCATTTCATATTGTTTTGTTGTTATAGAATTAATAATAATGAAGTAAGTGTTTTTATTGGAAAATGAATTGAAATTGCTTATCTGTTAATAAGGAAATTTCAGAATAGGAAGCAAAATTATTCCGTTCTCTTTCTACCTTCTCAAAGTAATGTCAAACCAAGCATCTAAAAGAAACATGGCTTGGAAAGAAGATTATAAATTCTTAAATTCAATTGAAATATCTGTATTATTATTCCATGAACAATGTTAATTCAAAATAATGAGGAGAATTTTACTTTAAATTACCTGCTTATATAATACAATTACCATGTATGTAGAAATGCTTTCAGAAAAGAAAAGTGAAATATTAACTCTTAGCATATATCTCCTCTTGTATTTATTATTTCTAAGTAAGGCTCCAATATTTCATTTATTTGTATCAAAGTGTTCCACTCGATTAACATAGTATTAAAATAGACTGACTAATCTAACTAAATTTCTGGGGACAATTAATTTTATGAATCATTGTGACGCTCATAAAAGGTTTGTTTTGTAGTTGTTTTTTCTCTTTCTTTTTTTTTTTTTTTCTTTCTTTCTTTCTTTCTTTCTTTCTTTCTTTCTTTCTAAAGACATACTGAGTTCAATGTTGAATTAATCAGACAATGAAATTTGTTCTAAAAACTTTGATTGATCATGTTCCATTATAGTTCAATTGGGGAAGGTGAGTTATTGAAAAGGTTTGTACACTTCAAAAATACGTCTCATTTGAAGACTTAAATTGACGTGAAAAAATACTCAAAAAAACTCTTTGAACTGAGAAGAAAGTACCAAACGTTTTTAAGCATCTCAAGTGGTGGCTACAGTATCACTTCCTTTTCTAATGTACTTAATGCATATAAATAATTTATATTTTATTAATAATTTTGGCTGATGATTTCTGATTTTTCTAAGGGAGTATAGAGGGCAGTGTCCATAGTGTGTATGTGCACCTGAGAGGGCTGTCAAATTCGGTTACAAAATTGTATGAACAGGGAGAAGTAAAAAAAAATGTCAATGAATTGAAAACTCTATATGAGATTGGAATGTTTTCCCAGTAGTTGATCTTTTTTGCTTTTCAAAGTAACCTTGGGCCAGAGTACATTTAATTGTTTTTGATTTGTCTTACAAATTGAATTTGTGAATGCTACATATTTGATTTAAAACATTTAGTTTCTCAAACATTTTTTTAAAATTGAAAAAAAAACAATCTTTAAAAATATATTTAAAAACATGGTTAGTAAATATTTTGTTTAGAATTTAATTTACATGTATTTAGATACAATCAATAAGTACATCTAATATTTTATGTGCTGCAATAAAACTTTTAATATAAAATTAACATTCAGCTGATCAAATTGTGCACATTTTGAGAAATAAAAATTTCCTCAACATAATTTTCACAATCTGATAATACATGCTTCACTGAATAGATTTGTTACAAAACTGTAACGATTTGCTTTTCCAAATTTATTTAATTGAAATTTGAATTGAAATTTTTATTTGTTTGTATCTTCTCTAGAACATCCTTTTCTTGGTTCTATCTGTTACGAAGTTTTCAATGTAAGTACAGTAGATTTTTGCCAGATATTGAAGAGATGACAAACAATTGACTGGGAAGGAATTTATAACACCATAATTTTGGTAGTATTGCTGTCCTTGTTTCACGTATTTTATTACATTTATAAAAATAAAACATCATCAATCATTCATAAAAATGGACAAATACAGAACATGAAGAATTGGTGTGTTGATAGTAAGTTTATTAAAGGAAGGAAAATTATTGTAAAATCTGGGAATGATAAAAATCTTATTAATTTTATAAGTTATATTATTACAAAAGTCTTCTCCTTCATTGAGTTGAATAACAAGATAAAAGGTTGATTTTGCTGTCAAATTAATTTTGGGCAAGTAATGTATCCACACTGCCCATGTCACACAGTACACATTAGTTTTTCTTCTTTTCAAATTTCATTTGATATTAAATTAACAAATTATTCAATGAATAACAAAATTAAACTTAAATTTCTTATTTCTGTCCGGGTACTCCTCAGAAGATTCTAATAAAATGAAACCTAACTACTTGCAGGTAATAAGTGAAATATTTTTTATTGCTGAATTAATAATATAAATATTATTGTTAAATACATTTTTGTTAGAAATATCTTGTGTAATTTTTCAATAAGTGAAAATAATGGGTGTGAATATACAACATCATTATATATGATGCGCCAAGCAAAAAAATCCACATAAATGTGATTTTGTAGTGTTGAAAACACATCGCAGTGAGATCAAATATATGGAATTCTAATTTAACAAATTATAGTCTGTAAATTACACATAAAAATTAACACCTTGACAGAACAGGTGTAGAGAAAAAATAATGTATTCCAGTGAAGACAAGTTTATTTGAATAGAACATTTCAGCTGTTTGGTGTGAACCTTTTGCAGGTGCAACATAAAATACATACAAAGTAGTTGATAAAGTTTCATGTTATTACTAGAGCTAGACAGTAGTAAGAATTAAGTGACAATAAAAGAATATTTAACGCAGGTTTCGGTTCTTTGGTATGGGATCTCCTTCAGGTATGACGCAACTAATTAACTCTCAATTCATGATAATGCTGTTCTTTTTTAACTTACTAATTAGCTCTCAGTTTTAAATGTTGACTGTTTTGTATGTGTTTTGTTACACCTGAAAAAGATTACCAGAGAACCAAAAGATATGTAAATAATCTTGTCCTAACTTGAATTAATTATTCATTCTGTATGTCTGTTTTGGCAGAGCCTTACATTACTAAATTTAATTATTTCACAACATTCATATATTGGGTCTTGAAAGTCTTTGAAGTAAGGTATGGCTATTATATTTGTCATCTTAACCTATATTACTCAATAAACAAAATGAAGAGAATAGAATTCTTTACAAGCAATTGATGACAACTGCTAATTGCCAAAAAATTATTCAGTTTTGTCAGAAAGCTTCGTAATATTTAGAAAGATTGAGAGAACACAAAGTTATTAGGACTTTCTTTATACTCGATAAACTAAAAGTTTCCATTTTTCAAATAGCAGACTATTGCTGTTGGTTACATTTTTTAAATAATTTACCACGAAACACATTTTAAAGAACTCAGCAGCCAAGATTTCCTATACTGAAAATTGCCATCAATTCAATAAGAAGTGAAGTTATACTGTATTATTAATTTTATGCTAAAAATTTATTTGTATCTGTGGAATACAAAAAAAAAACAAAAAACTAGTAAGCAGAAAACTGTCCTGTGTCTTAAAAAAATTATTTAATTTAAATTCAAAAAATTTACTTTTTCATCTTAAACAATGCAATTTGTCATGAAGACTGTTCCCAATTATAAGTATTTATAAAATGATTTTAAATTCCTTCTTACCGAAGATCTTTCAATAAAAAAAATGGACATCTAGATTAATTGTGAAAATTTTTGTTTTTGTTGTGAAATAGTCCAATGCAAATTTACTTTCTTTTTAAATCCTGATATTTCTCTTCCCTTTCTCTCATTTTCTTTTGTTTCTTCTCCATCTTTCTAGTCTGTACATTCGTCTTAACTTTCAAGATCCTTTAATCATTGAGACATGATTGTTTTGCATTCCTCACTTTCATAGCTTCATAAGATTTTATATTGTGAAATGTTAATGCATGCTTTACATTCTATGACAAGAGTTATATATTTCATTTGAAAGTGAAATGCACTTGGAAAATTCAGTAAAACTTCCTTAAAACAGTGAAACAATAATCATAAGAAAATATTGAGGGCTTCTATGTAACTAGCATTTTTTTGTCACATTGCCACAAAATATTCGTAAATTTGTAAATAAAAACAAAAACAAAATGTGATTTTTTTTATTGGTTGGCTACTCCATTAGGCATTAATATTTATTATAATATTAGAATAAGCTCATTGAATTCTGTGAAAAGAAAATAGTTGATTATTTATATTATTAATACTTAAATGTCGTGTAACAGTTTCTGACAAATGGTTTTTTAAACACTTGTTGATATCATATCTTTTGCCATGTTATAAGCAAGTTGGGGCTGTTAGACTGAAACTTTGAATCGTAAAAATTTATTATGCTGATAATGACTGTCATGCTTAGGAAAAGACTGTGTACAAAGAAGACATTTATTTTATGACTGAGTGCATGAAATGGAAAATAAGTATTCCATATTATAAACTTTGTAAAGTAACAGTGTAAGTACTGGAAGAATGGCCACTTTTCCCTATGTTTATGTCATGTGTCAAGCTGGTCTTGCTGTAAAATGTTTAAGATAATTAGTCGCAGATTTGTTTCCTCATCCATTGCCATTGACTAGTAGAACTGATATTGTGCATTAGTAAACTTGTATGTTACCACCCTTTTGTTATTTCAAGTGTGGTATTACCTATGGAAGAGTGAGATTTTACTTTTTGGTAATTTTACTTATTTACATCTGGTGCACTTACTTGCATAAAGCTAGTACATCATGTATGCAATACTACTTGTAAAGCTTTGAAAAATCAAAGCAGTCATTTTCTGATTTCTATTGAGATGTTAGAACTGTCACTTTGTAAAAAAAATCCATCCTATTGTTTGAATTTATATCTAAGGTTATTTGTTATTTCTAATGAGATTTTAGTAAATTTACTGTACATTTGAAGACCACAATAAAAAAATCATTTTTGATTTTGGAACAAAATTTGTTTCGAATAAAGTAAATAAATCTACTTTCTATCCATTTCTGTTCTATTAGAATTGAATGTGGTTTAATTAGGACTCTTGATTTTTGTAGCAATTTATTTGTTGTTTCTGGGATAATCAATTTTTCAGATTACAGTGTTGGAATTTTTTAATCCTGTCCTGTGTAATTTTAATCAGGTGGCTTTTCACACTACCTCATCATTACTTCTTTTTTTAATTTTTTTTTAATAACAATATTTACCACAAAATTGGCCTAATTTCAATTAAATAAGCATATTTGTTTGTAGGTAAAAAAATGGGGAATATGTTGAAGGCAATGAATATCATGGCTCACTGGGGACAGAAACTGATAATGTGAGTGACTTATATTCACTGTCTGGGAAAGGGTGTGTTCATTTTCAGAAAATTTTGAAAGGTCAAAGTAATTACCCAACTTATTTTCATCCAGCTTATTTAATTTAATTTGTTACCTGTAGGTTGTTATACAATATAGGTACATGATATTATTTTTACCATACACTTTGTTTACAAATTATTAGATACAGTACCATGAATTTTGTATTTTCTTCTTTATCTGAATTTTTTGAACAAATGATTGGTTCAAAGTCTTGTAAGAACTTTTTATTTATTGGAGTGGATCGTATGGATTTAAAAACTGCAAGATATGTAGGCCTCGCTATTTATTTTTGATCTTAATGTGATATCTGTTTATACATGAAGAGAAAATTTTGTATTCCTTTTTGAAGCATATTGGATGCACAGAGGAGTGTGAGATTTGGCATATTTAATGGAGGAGTGCAAAAAGCAAAAATTTATGTACAAAAGGTGTTGGAAATACAATACACAGCATGCAGACATGCACAATCCAGCACGCTAGCAACACACAACACACTGCAGCACACTACTGTCCTGTTTAACTCGAATTCAATGTGTGTTAAGTCCTTAAAATCAGACTTCTGTCCCATAGGGATACAGGTTCTGTTTTCCTATAACCTAATCAACAAAATGAGGTTCTTAAGACGTTTTATTCCAAGCTTAGCATTTAGCAAAAAGATAAACTTACCTTTGTTTGCATTTGTGTATGTGAAAAGCATGTTAACAATATTTGAGTTTTGGAGGAGTTTTTCTCTATTGGCAGTTGAGGTCACGAGACCAGTTTCCTTTGCATTTCCCACACACACGGAACAGGGAGAATCTGAATGATCCCCTTGTTGTGTCACTGATGTTAATGAAAAATAATGTGCTAAAATAATACAAAATGTCAGTTATTGTATAAAAGCTAATCCTGTTCAAAATACTTCATTTAAAACTAAATTATCATTTAACAGTTAAATATAGATTAAAAAATTATAGTATTTCAGAATCCTTTACATTCACAAATGTGTGATATTTTCACACACAATTATCAGCTAGTTTACATTAATAAGCATCATAATTGTATTTAATAATGTCCTCCCCCCCCCCTTACTACAATAAACCTGTTAAAGTGGTTTGGTCCATGGCCTGGTGTAGAGAAGGCTTTAATGATTTTCTTTCTTCACCCCCAATTCTTCCATTTCATGTGTCACCTTTATTCTTTTAACAATTCTCTTTTGTGATCCCCTGATACCTAAAAAGTAGGTGTTTTTCCAAAATGCCCATTCGTCCAGAACACTATTAGAGCAAAAACCGATTATTTTTTTTTATCCCAAATGGATATTCCCCGGTCGATCTGGCTTGACTCCAGGTGCTGCGATTTTGAGAAACTTTACCTAAAAATTTGGGGGTACTTTACGTGAAGGCCCCCGGACATAATCAAAATTTTCTCAAAAACGGCTCCAAATTTTTTCTTTAAATTTCTTGTACATATAGAGTAAAATACTCGTATAAAAATGTCACATAAAGTTTCTCGAAAACTCAACCGTTTTCTGCTAAAAAGCTCAAAATTCGACATTTTCAGAAACGCTCAAACGCCATTTTGTCAAAAACGGCTTCAAAATTTTTTCTTCGATATTTCAAACGGATAGTGCTAATTACACTATTTAGTGACGTAAATTTCATTATTTTTGTAATTACACAAATGTAACTTTTTTCAAAGATATCTCACACCGTAAATACGCACAATTCCAGGAATTTGTAAACACTATTGTATTTGTGAGTGGAAGTGCTTCAAATGACTTCATATGAAGTTTTTCGAAAACTATTTCCGTTCTACTAATGGGAAATAGAAAAATTAAGAAAATTAAAAAAAAAAAAAAATACTTTTGCCGGCGATAGATGGCAGCTGGTAAGATTATCCTCACACGTTTTCTTTAGTCCTCATGTAGATAGATGCAAGTGGAGTGGGGAGGTTGATTATTTCTTCAACAGAACTATATACCAAATCTGTGACTCGTTTTACAATGCCAAATAGTTTATAATACACGAGAGCGAACGACTCTTGTAATCAGATTGTGCCAACAATGCTCGTTGCTTTTATTTATTCTTAAATCAACTAATATTAGTGAAGGAGTGGGGGGTAGTTGCTCCCGGGCTCAAGAAAACGTGCTCGTACAATAGTATGTACTATTTCCATGCTGTTGCGTTTTACTGCTATGTGTAAGTGGCTGGTGTAGGTTCGTGTCTGAACTCAGTCAATAGCCAAATCGGCTTTTGTGTTGCATTACGCCCTTAGAATATCAGAGGGGGGTGCTTGTCTTCTTTGCCCTATTGTGAGGACGTGTCGAGCTAATTAGTTTTAGCGTTGCCGGAGATTCGTTGGTTTGAAAGGCTTGATAGTCTTCGTTAAACGAAAGCCGTCTCAAGCATTGAGCGAAGGACTCTAAAGTTCCTTCCTCAGTACTTTCAACCGTTCGAAACGGAGGACGTGCTATGAGCTGCAGAACTTTGTTCTGTGCCTGCTCAAGTATATTCTTGTACTTTCGTTCTGTGGTTCACCACGTCGCAGCGTAGGTGGCCACAGGCCGGCAACACGTTTTATAGAGTTCCTTCAAAAGAGGTTGTAAGACTCGAAATCTTTGTTGTAATTTTGATCGAATTCGCCTGACATATAAATGCCAGCGCATCTTTCGATCAAATGTGTCGCCTAAGTAGGTTGCCTTAGGTGCCCATATTAGTTATTGTGTACCAAGTGTATTTGTTTTGGTAGTATAAAACGTTTAGTGTATTTGTGTTTGCAGCTGATGGCCTGCGACTTAACCGCTGAAAAAGTCAAGTGGTTGTGATCCGCCCACTTCAGCGTCAGGTTCATTTGTTTTTGAAGTATTTTGAGTTTGTGGTCTAGGTTTATTTCTCTTGCTAAGACGTCTATGCCATCAGCATAAAGGAAGAGCCGTATGCGTGGTATATGTAGGATGTCATTGACATAACAACGAGAACAGTAGCGGAGAGAGGACGGAGCCCTGAGGGACTCCGGCCGCAATCCTCCGCTTTGCCCATATTTACCACGAATGTGCAGTTTGTGAGGAAAGATGCAATCATTTCGGTTACTCTTGTGGAAGGCAACGCCGAAGTTTTGTGATGAGTGTACAATGAGGCACTTTGTCAAAGGCTTGAACCATGTCGAGATATGTGGCAGGTACATATTTCCCATAACCGGAGAAGACTGATTGGCCTGTGTTTTCGCAGCGGTTGTGAGATCCTTACGAAGTTTCGGAAGTATGGAGATACTTGCGTATTTCTAATTTTCCGGAAAATACCGGTGTGTAATGCAGCTGTTGTAGATTCGCGTAAGCTCCGTGTTTATGACCGGAAGGGCCTATTCGGTCAGGCTCCGGCACCTTGCGACTACGCAAGCATTTTCAAAAACGAAACGGTATAAATCTTGAAATGCTAAAGTATTTTAAATTAAATTAAGTCAAATGTTCAACTATTTGCTGCTAAAAATAATTATTTACTTCGTAATATCTTAATATATCTGTAACAAGTATTGTAGTATAATCGATAGGCCAATGACCTCATCTTGATCAGGTCTTTTGTCCATTTTCTCAGGTCCTTTGAACAAATGCTGAAATGGCCCCTTGTTTTGCTTCTGGACAATAAAAATAAATGTAACTTCACTCACTGCCCTCAAGAAGATCTATGTGATTGTACTCCCTCTGAATATATCACATTTGACTTGTCATAAACGAGTGTAATTGTATGTGACTCAATGAATATTATTATTATTATTATTATTATTATTATTATTATTATTATTATTATTATTATTATTAAATTGTAGTCAAAACTTCTTTGACTGTACAATGTGTGTGTGTTGGCACTGTCGTTCATTTCCTCCTCAACTCCAATGAGTACTTTCAGTAAACATGCATGCATAGGTATTGAAGAGAGACAATTGTTTCAACCATTATTGTTTTTATTTGGTACAGTAAATGATAACCAGTGAAAATATAACTGGTAATATTAATAACAAAACAAGCTATAAGGTACATAGAAATGATTATAAATGAATAATAATCACAGATTCATGATTCTATTGAGAGATACTATTTTTATTTACAGAACAATGTATTACTTGCCTACTTCAGTAACAATGCAACGGAGGCAGATCCAAGTGGGGCAAATCCAACTTTATTGTTTTGTAAAATTAATCAATTTATTATAACCAATTACCATTGCAATATGCATTGCACTACTTATAAAGAAGTATTCCCATTATGAATAAGTTATACATATTTCAAGCTAGGAACTGTTCTCAAAAATATTTGTGGGGCAGGTTTTAACTGAAATTGCCTCCGGCTAAGAAATACTACTTTCTGGATCTGTCTCTGCAATTCAACATTGTAAAAAGAGCAGAATTTTCATAGCTAAAATTATTTGTTGAGAAACTAAATTAAAAATAGCTTACACAATTCACAGAATTTAATTATCAAGTTAGCTTTATGTACAAAACATCAATATCACTCTACAAATTATTTTAGAAAAATCCATTGAGCTTATGGCAGTATTGGTCCCTTTGATACTATTACATCTCTTCAGTACTTTGTCAAAAAACAATATTGCTAAAAATCTAATTACTAAGAATACACCTCCTAATTACTTGGTATATGCATAGGTATACCTGTCTGAAGGAAGGCAAGGTCATACATTAAATTTAACAGTAACTCTCAAAGCTGAATGATGTAATTATTTACAAAATATCTTTATGAAATACACTCATTTTTCCTTTCATTTCTCAATGTTGTAATTGTTTATATTATTGTATAACATTCATTGAACCAATATGTACCTACAATGAAAAAACAGTCTTCATCTCATTTATATCTAAGGCATCTTAGCACACAACCTTGCATTCATTCATCAACTGCAATACACATTTATAAAAAGATGATGATGGTGATAATAATAATAATTGACAATGTCAGGAGCATGTACTCTAGGATTTTAGGACATCATAATACATGACCCTTTGCCCAGTAAATTTTCTGTTCTGTCATTTTTTTATATAAGAAGAATGATCCTTATCATTGTGTAAAATAAAAAATAATTGTATATGCTATATTAAAAAAATGTACATTTCTCTCCGTCCAAAATTGGATGGAAAGACCCACAATAACATTCACTAGCCTTCATGCTGAAGTTTCCTGGAAAAAATATTTAATTCTTCAAAAGATTTGATTGAAATATCACCTTTGTTTAAATATAGTGCTATTCCTTAAACTCCCTTACAACTTAATGAACTTAATCATAAATTTTGTGTAACCAAAAGCATTAAAAAACTTTAATACTAATTAGACATTTTCCCAGTGAGGTGCACACACAAATGTTTATTATAAATAAATAAAATATATAAAATACATGTGCATATAAATAATATACACATGTCTATTATTTATCTGTAGCCACCTGGCAGTAATAAAATGGATATGTAGGGCTGTTTTGCTACAGTGATGTTTTCATTATCTTTTGTAGAACACACACTCAATTTTCAATATTAAAATGTTATGATAGCCCTTTAAAATCAGCAAAGACATTTGAAGTTCTATGTAGTAGAAAAGAGTTTGTAAAGATCATGCAGCATATTTAACACCTCCTCACACTCTGGTTTCTGATTACATTTACAATTGTAATTGATTTATGTACAATATACAAAATACAATATTTATCAAACCTCTTAATAATTTTTGTGCCTTGCAGACAAAGAAAGTTGAAGTGCATTTATTAAGAATAATAGTTGTGTACCTGAATGAATAGAAAGTTCTTTTATTGACCTAAGGATTTTACAAAATAAGAAAATGAAATTTAAAAAATTGCTACTAAGTCCACGTGTGAACTATTACACAAAATGTTTTCCTCTCAGCAAATGCCACATTTTAAATCTATTATTTTATTCATTTAGTTTTTAACGAACACTTTGAATTTATGTGCATGATTTAAAAAGTAATCATTCTCAAAATGGTAAGTTAACATAAATATCTTCTTTGGAATGACATTTAAAAATCCATTAAAGACCTAATTTAAAAGTAGCGAATTTAATGATAGCATGTCAGCGAAGGCCAGTTTGTTTTTGCATCCAAAGTTTACTTTCTGCTGACTTTAATTTGCTATATTCATATTTGTACTTTTTATTCAACAATTACAATTTTAAAGATAATATTCTTAGAAGTGGAACATGGAGATTCAGAAATCAGCAGATTTGCTAAAATTTCACAAGCAAGTTCATATAAAATTGTTTATAAAATATGAAAATAGGTAACTGTGAAACAGTACTCCTTTCCATGACTGTTTTATTATTTCTTATGTGGACTTGAACTCCAGGCTTCCCCACGAGGATTATCACGAATTGATAAAGCTTTTTTACTGTTCTGAACAAATTCCTGAAATTAAGATAAAATTTATAGAATTAATATCCACTATTATTAAAACTGAATTTTAAAAGAGCAAGAATTCCACAAAACTAGGATATTTTCTTTTATTGTGATATAAATTAATTTTAATCACAAATTAACATCTATTTATTTGCTGGTATTCAATCAAAACTTTTATGCTCTAAGAATTTTTAAAATATGAAAAACCTTGCCATGTTATGTCATAATATAGTTTCGAAGTATTTCAAAATAAAATTCTTAATCAGATATTATTTGGTATTCTCAAAAAAGTGTCTCTGATCACATGGAGGGAAAGATTAAAATACACTTTTTTTGTAAAAGAAAAAATTAAAAAGGCAGACAATTGATGCTTTTAAAAGATCTTACCATTAATCCCCTGCTCATATAATATGGACGACTTAGGCCATCATTTTCCTCACAATCCTCACAAAAGCACAGGAATATTGTATCAATTGCCATCTAAAGGAAATTATATATATATTAATCAATTTTATGGTATAAATTTGATATATAAAAAACAGAAAAAATAGTTTACCTCATAAACTGTGACAAAAATATGTGATACAACATAAGCAAAAAGACCCACTAATGCCAAGGGTATCCACTTATGTTGTATTTCTTCTTTATCCTGTAACATTTTCATCAAATAATTACATAAAATTATATTGCCTACTGTGATTATTAGGGAACGAATTTTCATGTACATAAATACATATTTTTACAGACATTTTAAATGAATTTTACCCTAAGCTAAATTTTAGTCTAACATAATGGGCTTAAAAAGATGATTTTAGATATGTGTACATCTTCATATTTAAGCGAATTGGTTTTTAGAAATTGATGTGTTTTTGTAACATATTTTCCACTGAAGCAGCAATTTTCCATTTGATCTTTCCTGCTAACTTAAGTAGGGAACTTCACAAGTTTGTTTTTCAGAGAAAAACACTCATTTATTTGAGCACAATTCAACTACTTTCTTTGATATTAATTTTGCTGAAAGATGACTCCGTTAAGAAAATATTTATAGGATTGCATTTAAAAACTAAAGTTGACCTTATATCCTCATAGTAAAATATTATGCAAAGACAAAGTATGCTGTAATCAAGTAACCTCGCACAGTTGAGGAGATACAAGGGGTGTAATCAGTTGTTCCACCCTGAATAGTTACTTTTAAATATACTTATACGTCGATTCGAGACATTTCAGATGCGAAAAAATCATTCAGAATGTACGTACCTGGAACCATCTTTTTAACAAAGCAATGTAATGCACTTTTATGACCACCGGACTTTTGTCATTACTTGTCAAACTTGCTCTCTCCTGCTTCATGAAAACTGTGTAGTTTGGATAAAGGATGAGCAGATGTATGTGAAAGAGAAGTAACTTCAACCACATGCTTGGTCATGTTTCGTAGACCCCATGCGTAACTTGATCAAAAACTAACAAATATGTTTACAATTCTGTTGGAGGTGAAGGGTATTACCCCAACCCCCTTTACCCCCACTCCAGGATCCATCACTGACTTCATGGTTTTCATTCGAATACTGCCTCCGTGAAAAGAACATTGTATATACAATGAACATATTTTATATTTTGAATTAAACTAGTGTTCAATTACTTCTGTAGAGATAGATCTTTCTTTCAGCTCTCTGAATCCATGTTATGAATTTTAAACACTATAATGAATTTTTTATTTTCTATTTTTTCTTATATATTTTGTAAAAAAAATCTACATATATATGTACATATTTTACTTTTATATTACAATAAAAACCATTTCCTAGCAATTATCAAAGGGGAAACTGATAGACTGACAACCTTCCAATATAGTTTCCTTTTATGATCAACTTTATACAGACAGTTACAATGAACGGTTACATATCAACTTGACAATAATTTATTATGATGTTTTCTTTATAGACTTCTTAAGGTAATCACATAAAATTGTGTGTTACAAATCTGTTGTATTGCATAATTAACTTATTAAGACAATTATAAGCCAGTACCTACTATAAAGAGAAAAGACTGCAAACAATGGTCAAAATGATTATAAACCATTATATTTTATCATTATGGCAACACTATTTCTCAATGCTGTCAATTTGGTATGTAATCATTAATTGTGACTATGTATTAAGCCCAGATATAAACATAATTAATAAAGGTTCCTATTACAATGTATGTAGCCACAAAGTTAGACGTTTTTAAAAATGCATCCTAAATTGTTAAAGGGTGGCATTTTTTGTGGTTTAATTCATGCAGCAGTGCATCTAGATATTACAGATTGCAGGGTAAGTGTGGGATGGGGCCAGGTAAGGCACTATATGAGGTGGACAGAGACAGGGTGGGCTTGACATGGAGAGGCAGTGGGGTGACGTGTGGTAGGGACATCAGAGTGAAGGAGAGGAGAACTGGGGAGGTAAATAAAATTACTTCCCTTTCACATTACAGATAGAATTCATTTCTTTTCCTCTCTAACATATGATTGTGATAAATAAAATACTCAGACAATGCTGTATAAAGTTACCAAGTGCATTGAATAATTTGAACTAATAGTCTGTAGTAAATGTCTTCAAAGTTCAAGAAAAAGATTTGTTATATTGTGTACAAAGTTCAGTTGATTTGTATAATTAATTGCTCCTTACCTGTAACATATGCACTCCAATTAAAACAGTAGCAATAACTACTATTGCTTTTCCTAAAAATAATACAAAATCTCCCACTGAATTAATCGCAGCAACTCGTAAAGCATTGGTAGCAAACAATTTAAAAGCTTGTTGACCACCTTTGCAAAAATTGTAACCATTCATAGCTACAAGAAAAAAGAAAATGGTCGTTAGTAATCATTTTGACAGCACTCAACATCAGTTTTTGCACTAAAAGAAAAATCAATGTTCTTACCTACTTCAATATATGCATTACGAGAAAAGAATTGTAGAACTTTTTCAAAACACCAGAGGCAACACTGACATGTCCTGAAGATACATCTACTCACAGCATTTTCACTAGCTTTTGTTTTTGATTCAACATATTTCAGAATAGCACGTATTATCTGCACAAGAGCAATTAAAAATGATCCAAGAGCTACTGATCCCAGATGATATCGAATAAGATTCCAAAATGATCTTGCAATAGGACAACCCATTGAATTTCTGTCCCTGAAATAAAACTGAATGTTAGAAACATTATTACACAATTTCATGAAGTTACACACTATATCAATGTTTTAAGATTTTTTGCAGTTGTACTGCTATACAAGATACAGTAAAAAGGAGTGACCTTTGGATACATGGTGATTTTGGGCACAATGCATTCTGTAGCTTCACTTCATTGTCGCAATAAGAAACTCCAAATTGGGTTTTCTCCATTTTCTCATTTTAATTTTTTTGAATACAACAATAAACAATATGTGTCAGTATTTCCTTGTTTTGTGTTCTGTAAATAATTTTACACAGTCCAGAGATGTTGATAATCTGAACTATGATGTATTGATTATTAGAAAATAAATGAGGCAGTTGAATCGAGAATCTGGTCTGTGAAAAAACTATAGTGGATGTGGAGACTTTTGACATTGGAATAAAGAAACCAGGAAATGACTCAGAGAGCCATTTAGGCGCAATTATTATCATTACAACTTACGTAGGGCTGTGAAAGAAGTATGCTCAATATTTTGTTGCACAAGAAAGATTCTGAAGTGGAGGAAAACATTAAGCTATCCCAGATTACAGGGATTAGAAAACTAGTATGAGAGTCTGTGCCATTCCATAACACCATTAGTTCCTTTCTTGCAATACAACTTACTTAGTTTAAAGAAGTATTCTAAATCTGCAGAAAAAATTGAGATATTTCGTTAGGAAAACTTGTATTGTGGGATATTAATACAGAAAAAGCGAATAAATCTTGTTCCAGTGTGTAGTAAATTACTTCCTTTAATATGAGGAGACCTTGGGCAGCTCCTCTGTACTCACCACCATCAGTTCAAAAAGGCCCCATAGACATGGATCGAAACGCGCTAGGAAGCACTACTCTTATGCTAGGGCACAGGACCTTTTCAAGAACGATCCGGCGCTCTTGGCAAAGTGCATTAGAATGGGCATTGACTGTAGTAGTGTTGATAAACAGCCCCTTAAGAGGGATGAGATTAATGACCTGTACAAATCCATCTGGGGTGACACGCCCCCAATTCAGCTTTCTGAATTAAGAGAGGGCGATAAATTGTTGGCATCTGAAATGTACACGGACACAATTCTATACGCAGTGCAAGTTGCTGAAATTAAAAGTAGTGTGGCTGGGATGAAAAATGCCATGGCTCCAGAACCTGATATGATAAAAGTTAGCCACATATCCTCAGGAGCAAAAATGGAAATTTTGTCCCTATTGTACACCCAAATTTTATGCAGTGGCTTTGTGCCTTCTGGGTGGAAAACTAATTGCACCATCCTTACACCAAAAGAGGGTAAGGATAATACAGTAGTCACTATTAGCCCTATCACCCCATCACAATTAGTTTTCTGCTGTGCAGAATCTTTTGGGGCATTATGGACAAATGCATTCGATCAATGGTGAAGTTCAATCCATGCCAGAAAGGGTTTATCCCCTAACTTGGCTGCTTCGCTAATATTCAAATTCTTCATGAAGCAGTCAGTGACATGAAAAAAACAGAGGGTGGTGTAGGTGTTGTGCTAGATATATCCAAAGCATTTGACACTGTTCCTCACACGGCAATTCGGTGGGCTCTGTCCAGGAAAGGGAACCCTGACACCTTTACCAATTTGGTAATGGACTCTTACGCCGATGTTTCCACCATCATTCAGCACCCCTCGAAAGGAGTTGAGGTGCCAATTCGTAGAGGAGTAAAACAGGGGTATCCCTAGCCCCCTTTTTAATCTCATCATGGAGTGCCTGCTTGAGAAATTGGAAAATATGTCAGGATATACGCTATTGGGAAGGAGTGTGTGCCCATGTTAGCATTTGCTGACGATCTGGTGCTGTTAGCAAAAGATGCACCGAGAGCTCAAGAATTGGTTGATTGGTGGAATATCTTGGGGCCCTCGGAATGACATTGTCTGTCGCGAAATGTTCATCATTTCAAATTACAACTTTTGAATGATCCTGGTTCATTGAGAACCCCTGTCTGGAAAGGTTGAGGGAGAGAATTCCCCTTGTCAGCAATGATCATACTCTTACATACCTGGAAATGAACTACTATATCTGGAACAGCTTCCCATCTAAGGCATCCATATCGAATTTAATGGAAGCAGTGTCAAGACTTCAAAAGGCGCATTTAAAGCACACTCAGAAGTTGGTATTACTTCATACCTACATAATGCCACATTACCTTTATCAATTGGTTCTATCCATGCCTTGATTGTCGATGCTCAGGGAAGCAGACAGTCAAATCGGAGTGGCAGTCAAACAGTTCCTACATCTGCATATGAGTACTGCAGAAGGCTTATTCTATCTGGCCAAGAGAGATGGAGGACTGGGATTGCTGCGGCTCGCCCAACACGTTCCCAGAGTTGCGCTGAACCTAGGATTACGATTAGAAAAATCTGCAGATCCTATTTGCAGATGGTTGAGCTCCGGTTCGCGTTTTTACCAACGGACACTAAAGACCGCAAAATCACTGAGACACAACTGGCCCTATTCTAAACAAGATTTAAGGGCTTATAAGAAGAAATGCACCGATGACAAGGTAGCCTTCTGGGAGAAGCAGGGATCCCAAGGGAGAGCAGTTAGGGCGCATATAAATGATCCGATTGGAAATGCCTTTTTAAAAGAGTATCATCTGAAACCTGGTCTTTTTATCACTACACTCCAATTGAGATCAAACACTGCTGCCAATAAAACTACTCTTAGTAGAGGAAGGCCCAGAGAGGACGTTTTCTGCATGAAGTGCAATACAGCGGTAGAAACAATGAATCACATCCTCGGTCAGTGCATTTTTAACAAAGTCGGCAAGAATAAAGCGTCGTTTCACGAGATCAAAAATTTTATAGAAGGGAAGATGCTCCAGAAATCGGACGGTGGTGTCCACAGAAGCCACTTTCTCAAGGGGTTAGACTCAAACCTGACCTGGTAAAAAAAAAACCTTGAAGGGGTCCACATGGCCGATGTGACTGTCCGCCACGAGACTGGGTCTAGCCTTCTGAAAGCAGGGGAGGAAAAGGTGGTAAAATACCAACCAGTCATTCCCCTAGCAGCCCAACTTCATGGAGTACCCAATGCCAGAATCCTGCCAGTGGTGGTTGGAGCCTCTGGGGCTATGCCAAAATTTAGTCAGTGCCCTCAAGACCCTGGGGATCACTATCAATCTACAGACTATCTTGTTAATTGCTCTCAGAAGCTCTATTAAACTTTACACACAATTTTTAAATTATGATGGAGCATGTTCGAAAAGAAAAATTACCACAGAAATAAAAAAGTACCCAATTTACACAATTCAACTGCTTTTTTAATATTCCTTAATATTTGAGTTACCTAACTCATATTCCATAATTGTTTCACAATTTATATGAGAGACAGTAGTAGAAGGTACATTTAGATAGGCCTAAATCTTCATTATCTTCCCAGGAGCAGATCCAGAGACAAATTTTCAGAGGGGAAATCGAAAATGTTTTGATCAAAGGTGTCATATTACAGATTTTGAAAAATGTTGAAGGTTACAATAGTTCATGCTGCAATACGATGTTATTCGTTTTAATAATTATCCTAAAATATTTTTGTTTGACAGTTTTGTGACATGTTAAAATTAATAGATACTAATTTTTGTCCTCCTCACTTCCCTCCCCAGGGATCCACACCTGTCTTCCTGATCAGGAGTAAAATTGACATATTGGTTATTGCTAGGGCATACTAAACCTTATTTTGTAAACCTATGTATTATAGAAATAGAGATAGAATTGCATACATACCGAGTGAAAAACCACTTTGATACTGCTCCTGCTATTACCATATGTTGACAACCCACACAAAATTGAACCAACCAAAAGAGAGCAAAAAGATTATACCAACGTGCAACCTGAAAATGAAACCCATTTTGAAAACAAGAGACACAAGTAAAGTATTTGTGATAAATTAATAACTTGCATAACTTACCTTAATGATTGTATCCTTTTTGTAGTAATACTTCAGATCAGTTTCTGATACACGTGTCAAAAATCCAGCACTCTCTATCCAAAGACTAAAATATAGCCAAATTGCTATTAAACCTCCGATTGAAAGAAATGTCTGCACGGAATTGAAAGTTATTAGAATGTATAATTAAGTAAGAGATTATTAATATTACGATCACACACAACAGTCAACTTACAAGTATTGGTTCAAACAAGATTAGTGGCATGCTGCTGATTGCTTTCCCAGCTTCTTTGAATAGCTGCACCACAAGTTTAATACGTTTCCTCATGACAAGAATCACCAGCCAAATAATAACCTGGAAGTACAGGTTTTCATGAAGTTTAGTAGCACAAGATATACATTAAGACATTGGAGAGACCAAGATGCAAAAGAATGTCCTTTAAATGATGTAAAACTTATATCTTTAAAATTTTGCTGTGTAGCACCTTTTGAGGCAAGTTAGTGGATGTTCAAAATTAAACACACTAGTAATAGACTGATGCGATTGTACTGGTAGATTAAAGAGACTAGAAATTAGTTCGAAAAACTTCAAAATAATGATTTAGAACATCTAGTATTTATTACACACTTTGAAAACTTGTGACACTTTAATGTAGCAGACACTCTTTGGTAATTATAAAAGAAATGTACATAAAGCTTGTATTACAATGAAAGGTCCTTTTGCACTGAACTTAAATAAATGCTTGAATGACAACACAAACCATTAAGCATGCCATTTGAAAATAACTCCATAAAAATTTAAACATATTGGTGCAAACTTCAAATTTCTAGAATTTTTCCACAGACACTGCACATCGAGGAATTCATTGTATCCTCCACATGTTGAGATTCTGAAAGGACAAATTTTGTCTAAGAAGACAAAAATGTAAAAGAGCAACTCTCAACCCACATTGCATGTTTATAAATAGTAGTTACATTGATACCACAAGCTTGCTAATGATTAAAAATTGTCCTGAGGATCAAAGTACTTACAAGAATTGCAGAACACAATAATGCTAGACATATTTGCTTTCGGCATCATACAAGAAGTGGCACAACGGCTTGCTTTGGGCTTTAGACAAGAAATCATAAAATGGAGTGAAATACTATATTCGCATTGATATTTAAAAATTGTAGTTTCGGATTTCTGCATTCATGAAATAAAAATAAAATATAAAAATGACTGCACAATGACTCCATTATTTTCCTCAATGAAAAATTGAAGTCACCTTATCACAAAAAATGAACAATGGTAGAAACAGAAACACCCAAGCCATTCATTTAGAATTTGGCATTCTCTGGAAACTATATTTATGTTTATGAAGACTCATGTCTAACTGTAAATCTTACAATGTGCATCTAAAAGTTATTCCAAAACTCTATGCCAGAGTTAATCTGCAACATAACACATCTAACAGATTTTTTTTTTTTTTTTTTTTTTTTTTTTTTTTTTTTTTTTTTTTTTTTTACAATTTTTTTATATAAATACATTTTTCTCAGACTTATTTATATCTCCTTCTACTCTTGATTAAAAATTGTTGACTTTATTCATTTTCGGTTTCACCAATCCCAATATGATGATTGCATCAGAAGATTTCTGATTTCATTAGAAACCATCAGCTGAGTTTAACTCGGAGGATTGCTGCTGTCTCTGACCATGAAATCCTAGGGTCCTAGTCCCGACGGTGGCGGAATTTTGATACTACCTTAATAGTTGGGTCGAATTCTGCCGCTGTTTAGAATGCAATTCTTGCGCCTGCTGCTCTGATCGATATAGCTCCGTGGTTTCTCCCTCCGGTGGAATGCCAGGGCAGTACCCTAATAAACGTACCACTGACCGCGCGCGATCTTGCGTTCCTCGTCCTTGCCCTAGCATCCTCCCGTACTGTGCAGACACATTTGTCATGACCTCATCTACCACAAATGTCGGGAGACCAGTAGGAAGTTTGGGGCTGGTCCCAGCTGGGGCGGTGCCAAGCCGCGTTGGTCGGCACTGGATCTCACCATCTAGTGAGGAAGGAACACTGGCACATCCAGGCATCAAAACTAATTTCCTACAGCAACTGGGCGTATGACCATAGCAGTTGAGTACCCGGAAACATCGACCAATCCACAGTAACAAACCTCTATTTTATTGTGCATAGGCCTACTGAAGATATGACTTTATAATAATAGTGACTTTATTTTTTGTGATTCAGGCCATCAGGCCCGCGCTTCTGCCTAACAACGTAGTAGTACAATGTGTTATTTGGGTGTGCCTGTCTGGTTCACAAAAGCTTACTTTGCTCGAACTTTTTCGCACAAATAAAACTGTATGCCACAGACTTTCTCGTACTAGTAAGTTTTCTACTTTGAGTCTGGACTAACTTTTCGGTTTTCTTCACGTTATCAATCGGTACCTAAATGACCTACCGGGGACTATCGCTGAACCTTTTGACAGTTCGGCGACATACCCGATGAAGAACACTTTTACACACTTCAAACTTCCCAAAGGCCTATCTCAGTCCAGTACCTTTACGTATTTGCCCATGGATCCCTTGGCACCATCTCGGTGCTTGTGTTCTGTGTACGAATTTAGTTCAATTACACACACAGATCACACACACCTGACACAGTTTCCTAACAGGACAAAGAACTTACGGAAAGATTAAGGTGTAGATGTAGAACACGAGGGCCTCGAAATGCTCTCCATGCCACAAACACAACTTTAAACATTCATGCTTTACACGGTGCCTCACGAACCCGAAAGACTTCACAGTAATTGAATCGTTTATTTCAGAATCCTATCAAACGCCAAAAATTTTAAAAACGCGTTAGCAACTGGACATTGCTCTTTGAGGATAAACACATCGTTTAGTGTAGAAATCATCTGTTTGCAACGGTCTAATTTAGTCTGAAATACCCTAAAAAAAAATCGGGTTTTGAACAGAAACCCGTTAAGCGATGTCGTCTGACGAGTTTCTGCTCTAAACCAAAAGGAAATTTCCTTTTAACCCTGCAGTGGTCGCATGCGAACAAACACGAGGATTAGGATGTTCAATGTAATCCAAGCTACTTTGAAGGGTTAACAGAACCATCTCAGGGGGCGGTTAGGTTACACGTTCGGGAGGGGAGATTTTCTGAGGAGTACAAGAAGACGCCGTGATTTCTATCTCCCCTTCTAAAAATAGTGAGATTGTAGTTCGCCGTTTGTAAGTAGCATCTGTTCAGTGTGGTGTTTTGAAGTTCCTTTTGTAAGTGATTTGATTTTGTTGTGTTTAGTGAAAAAGAAAAAAGTAATTTTTTTGCGAGAACATGTCCAATTCTGAAGAAGAACCTGCACGTAAAAGGAGACGCAGAGTAATGAACAAACTTATCAGCGTAAAACCATACGCAATGCCATGGTGAAAGGCGAGTTATATGTTTCGTACACCGATAAGAAAATAGATCTAAAAACAGTGCCGGATGGCATTTCATAAAACTAAAATAGGACGTACAAATAAAACATTAATTTGTTTTACTCGATGTTAGAAAGCACTACCATAATATTTTGGTTGTATTCAAATATTTAATTGGGCACGTTTGTTCTACATTTTACATTTTTGTATGTATCTATTAACAAAACGAAAATATAGGATTTAGTGGGTTTAGTGAAACTGAGACCTTATGTAGTTGACTATGAAGAATTTTATGATACAATTTTGCTTTGGAGAATTAGAGATGGAGAAGGTGATGGTGATGTTGCGCTTCCAGACGAATAATATCAATCTTTCAAGATTTTTGTCTAAACAAATTCTTATTTTCGTCTAATTTAATAATAATAATAATAATAATAATAATAATAATAATAATAATAATAATAATAATAATAAATAGAATCACTCAAAAGTTCATTACAAGTGATTGATACTCGTAAAAACAAACGATAGAAATCAAAACAAGTTATTTCTGGTCATTTATTGCAGAAACCCGTCACGTGCACGGATTTAAACGTTTTGAAAAAATATGAGATCAGTAAAACAATATTTACATAAAAACTATTCATTTATCAACTGCTTTCATACTAAAAAATATTTTGAAATCAGAAAAATCCAACCCTACATCGCTAGGAGACTTCTTAGTTTTCTCAAAATGTGGAATTTGGCGTTTGATGGGTTTCTGAAATAAACGATTCAATTTTACTTTCTTGTTACCGCTACCGAGGTTGAGAGAAAGTTACGTAATGCGCGAAAAAACGCTGAATTTTAAGCAGAAAAGTCTTATTAGAAGGCCTTGGCAACGAAAAAGTTGTTAAATCCGGAGCTAAATTTGTAAAAAAATCCTGTAACACGTGGTGTAGCAAGAAGCCATGTATTGTGGGTCCTTGAAACCGAAAAATCGATTGACGGCAAAATGCATGTCCGTATGTGAACAACGCTGGCGGTTAAAGCGTTCAGCTGATTTTCTCCAAAATTTATATTCCCCAATCGATCTGGCTGAGGCGTCTTGAATTTGAAACCGATATTTTAATTTTTTTTGGGGGGGGGTGTACTTAACATGAAGTCCCTGAGACATTTTCAAAAAAAATGGCTCCAACTTTTTATTAAACTTTGTTATTGGATAGTGTGAAAGTCGTTTAAGAGAATGGTGGAAGTCTCATGTTCGTTGAAAACCATTAAATTAAAGAGAAAATTGGAAAAAAATTAAAGAGAAAATTTGCAGCCGTTTTGGGAAAATATATTTATTGTTACAAAATGCATTTGCTTTAGACAGAAATTACGAAAAAACTATGTGTTTTTTAAATTATCCATGACCTTTTTTAGTGTTGCAATCTGTCTTACTTTTGGAGGACTTGTTATCCATTTTTAACATTGTCCATCTGCCTTCCCTCCTTTTTAAATTTACATGGAATGCCCTCTCTCTGTCCTGTTGAATTGAAAGTAATACTGGTATAATTTTAAAACAATTTAATTCATTAAAAAGATTTTATGTCTTAATATCTACATTTTTACTCAAATAAATGGTCTGCATAATACATCATTATGTTTATTGTGATATAAAACTTATTTATGCTTATTGTATGGCGTATATTGAAGGTGTGTGTGGGCGCGAATTTATCCAATCAGAAGCTTTCATTTTTAATTACCCAAAGTCTAATATGCTTTTTAAAGGTTATTAATAGTTTAGAATTGTTGAGTACATTGCCAATACATTGTAGAGTATAAAAATGTCCTTCTTTTTATTCTCTTTTTTTTTAAAGTAAAATGTCCTCCATTGGGAAAAAAGATTTTGGTAATCCTGCCTTTTTTTTGATTTTTTAGAGCAGATTTCATTTAAGACTAAGATCATTGTCTGGAAAATAACTTGTTGCAATTTTCGAAAACACGGAGTTTGTCGAAAACGGCACCAGAGCTACTTTTTACCGTTCTTTGATATAAAAACACAAAGAAAATTAAAGAAAAATATTTGGTGCCCTTTTTTGAGAAAAAATTAAAAATTGCGTATATTTCACGCAAAATTACATGAAAAGAACTCAAATTTTCGAGACATTGTACATGAGCTTATTTCAGAATTTCTCTTTAAAGAAGAGATTTAATTAAGAACAAATCTCGTATCTTTAAGAGAATAGAATATTCGCATTTTAGTTGTAGGAAAAAATTGAACTTTTGCGATTTTCGAAAAATTAGGAATTTTAACGAAAATGATACCTGCGCTGATTCTCTTAAGCATCCTTTACGCTATTAGACTACAAATTTTAATCTCAAAATTTGGATCCATTTTTTGAAACTGCCCCACGGACTTCCGAAAATTAAAATATCAGTTTCAAATCCAAGGAGCCGCCGACACCCGTCAGATCGATAGGGGAATATCGATTTTGGAGAAAATCGGCTGAATAGTTTAGGCGCTAGCGTTGACCACAGACATTTTGCCGGCAATCAAGATTTCGGTATCAAGGAACCACAAACCATGGAATTTGGCTACACCACGTGTTAAAGGAAGAAATGTACTATACAAATAGGAACAGGATTTATCTACCTTTTTTCAACACTAGGGCCCGGCAATAAGAGTTTTTCTGACGAAAATTCGCCGTATTGCAAAACATTCTTTGTTCTGTGTAAGCAGTCATGTGGCCGATTTTCACTCTGAATTTTCGAAAATTAAATAAGTTTGAATCACGCCTACATTTACATTATTAAAGCTGGAGTCATTAATTCAATTCCTTCAAATGAAATTTGCTATCCACAATTCGTTCTTTGATGCCTATGTATTTTTTTTTTTATCTGAGTAGTTTTCGTGGAATTCTAAGTGCATTATAGGCTATACGTCGGTTTTTATTATAACATGGCGCGACAGGGCCTGTCTTCTCGATGGAATATCTCACGGCATTTCGCGTTTTCTCGGTCGTGTCGCTAACGTTACTAGACACATTGCACTGCTTGATACGGTCGCGATCTTGCGACATCTAGCGACACGACCGAGAAAGACGTGAAATGCCGTGAGATATTGTATATTGAAGATAGGCATCAAAGGACGGTAATGGTGCTAATCTCGATTTCGGCAACATCTTTATATTTTGGAAAATTGTAAAATGTTAACATTTTCAATTTACAAAATTGAAGACATATATTGAATTCTGAATGCTGTAAAAGAATTAGCCTTTAAAAAGAAAATGTACAATGTTTGAAAAAAAAACAGTATTTTTTGCACAATTGGTGCTTGTATTTTTTTGAAATTTGCTGGGGGGGGGACACATGCTGGAAGCCGGAGGGGGAAAAATTACAGCTAGTCCCAAAGAATTAGCGAGGGATTATTTGCGAGACAAAGAGAACCCGAGTTTTCATGGCAACAAGGGCGTCAAGTACTCGAGGCACGGTTTGATGAAGGTCGAGTAGCTTCTTTGGGGAGTCCTCGAGGGGGGGTGGGGGCTGTCTTCAGACTCTTTGATGCAAGTGGGAGGATGGCTTTGGAAGAGCGCCGCTGTAGCCCTTCGTCGAGTGTTATAGGTCTTCGGGTCAGCCGGCGGCTGCGAGTGGCGAATGTGGGCAAGAGGCTGGAGGCGGGGAGAGCTTCGAGGCGCATGGGCTATGACAATAGCGCACGTGAGATGTCTATATTCGTAAAGTGTTCTTCTTGAGTGAAGTGATCAGACTCAGAGGTGGAGGCGTGCTTTAACGGACGAAGGGGTATCTCTCTCTCTCTCTCTCTCTCTCTCTCTCTCTCTCTCTCTCTCTCTCTACTCTCTCTCTCTCTCTCTCTCTCTCTACTCTCTCTCTCTCTCTCTCTCTTCTCTCTCTCTCTTCCTCTCTCTCTTCTCTCTCTCTTCTCTCTCTCTCGATCTTCGCTCTCTCTCTCTCTCTCTCTCTCTCTCTCTCTCTCTCTCTCTCTCCTCTTATGATATATTATATATATATATAGATATATATATATATATTATATATATTATATTTATATATTATATATATATATATTATATATATATATATATATATATATAGTATGTGTGTGTGTGCGCGCGCTGGATTCGCAATCGGGAGGTGGGAGGTCCGGGGTCGATCCCTGGGCCGGCTATCCTGACCGGAGTTTTCGCGATTTCCCTCGGTCACAAGGATGCTGTGATGGTTCCAATATCCCACCCACGAACACCTCCTACCTTCCACTACCCCACCTAACACCTCTTATCTTCATCCTAGTCCTTTCACCCCTGGTACCACTTGGTATATCACAAATTAACATTCGTCCGTTAAAGAACGCCTCCACCTCTGAGTCTGTTCACGTCACTCAAGTAGAACACTTTACAAAAAATCGGATATCGTTGTTATAAAATTGAGACATAGAAACGAAATATCACGTACAATAAGACAACAATGATTGTTTTTTTAATATTACAAATAAAAAAAGAGAAATGAATTCGAGGAAAATGGCTAAAAACGCAATAACATTACACATTCCCACCAATTAATCAATAAGTATCTTCCCTCGCAACAATTACAGACATTCTTTGCCTCATACTCCACTCATGTAAATACAGAAATGTCTCTGAGAACTGTATACTCAAAATCCAAAAAGAATACTTACGGTTACTATTGTTGCGGCGATAGCAAAAGCCAAATAACTAGTAACTGATTCTGTCGCTGAATCAACATCATGCGTTTTTGTCTTCAGGGCATCCTTTTTATTCTTCCACAATATCCTGAAGTACAAAATGACATTTCTTTATTTAAGCATATTTATTTGACCATGGCAAGGAATTGTAAGTCAACTTTTGGCTGAAAGTGAGACAAATATACGCTGGGATTCCTTAATCACTCTCATTTGCAAATAATAATCAGATAAGTTACATTACTCCTGGTTGCTGAGTAATGGGCGCTTCAAACATGAAGTAAATTTTGTAAGATCATAAATCTTAACAACAATCGAGTTGTCTATTTATGTTAGAAACTTAGTTCTAGCACAAGATGGCAAGATATGATCTGAAAATTGTATTATTCGTCAGTAGAGATCAGACAATGCACGATTTACCTATGTAAATTCTTTGGATGTATTTTCAGGCAACTTACTCCACTATCCATATTCACTTAAGAAATGGCTTTTGCGAAGGTTTTATAATGTCTATATTAGAGATAATTGCCTATTCAAGTGTTAAGAGCCTGTAAGTGCCTAATTTTATTTTTTCCACACTTTTTATATTTGTTGTTCTTATTTTGTATTATACATTTTTTTGAGAAATCGCTGTCGAAAAATCACAAGATTTTTTTACCAAACTAGTGGCAACCCCGTAACATCAGGGCATCCTCCGATCGAGAAGCTCTACGACCTGTGTGTTCTCGCGAGCAGGGACACCGCTTAGAATGTACGTGAATTTGACACCATGCAGAATAAGCTTATCTATTTCGCCGAAGCGCGAAAGGGCGCTTCTGTACAATTACGAATGCACCATAGTTAATTTCCAACCAACAGCTACACAATGAATTCAAACTCGAAACCATAGAAAGTTACATCTCGCATCTTTCCACGCAGTTTTATCATAGCTTTCTTCAAATCATCAGAATACATCCCCTCCGGTTAAACAGAAATCTCACTCATGATACCCGTATTAAAAATAGATTTTCCCTTCCATACCTTCCTTACAAAGTTTTTCGAAAAGTAACTCACCTGAGGTCTCCCGCTAAGGATTCCTCCCACAAAAAAGATATTTTTAGAATTGAGTTTATATGAAGCCAACAACACAAGTGTAGAATGTGAACTAAACCTTGTAAAACCTGAAAATGTTTATAATAAAAAAAGGGCGCTCCAGAGAATAGGAAATTTCTCTCGTCTTGAAGTGAACACCATTTCTTGACAAAATATAAATTTCCACACGAGTCGACTCTCAAGAAATATATCTAACTCCGCAACATGTTTTCGCAATCGAAGAAATCCGATTTGTTTTTAGAGAATTGTGTTCATCCTTAATGTACGTATTACGTCTAGATTTGAATATTCAGGAGTTTTTGAACCTGTAATCAACTACAATGCCTATTTCCCTGACTGTTTTTAAAGTTTCTAGTTCCCCTTCGCCTGCCTATTTTCTACTATAATCTATATTTTCCTGATTATTTTTAAGTTTTTAAGCGCCTATTTTCGAATTTTTTAGTGCCTACATGTCCGAGCTCTATTCATGAGTAAATGCCTTATTCACTGGGGTTCAACAATCAACATAAGTTGCGATATCAAAAGAACAATAAATTTGCACAATGTAATTTAAAGAACAATAAATGCATACAATCTATTGCACGTGTTCCATAGTCCTTTCTTTAAGGAATTGCTCTCGCGCCCTCCCAGAATTGGCATTAAACATATTGTATTATTAATCCATTACATACATTTCCACACGCAGCATATAAAAGATACATTAAAGAGAACAATTGAATTTCTTATTTTTCTTAATACCTCCAGTAAAGAACAAACCGAATTAAACTTCGCATCAATGTGCAATGATTCCCTAACGCACACACGTAGACAAACACGCGAAGGTGCACTCTGACCCATGCACCCTACACACGCACGCGCACGCACACACACCGATATTACAAGCCATACCAACTTGTGAACCATCACCAAGCCACAGCAGTTTTGTGATACTGCTGGATTATTGTTTGGCTGTGACTAATATGTACATCAATAAGGGGCCACTAAAGTCAATTAACTTTTATCTATTCATTTGATGACAAAGTGGAAACTAATATTAATGAAAGGGGGAAAAGTTGATTAAAGAGCAGTGTGCTATTCTCAACCCAAGAAAACTGCAATTTGTGGCTCATAACTATCTCTCACTTACATTCAATGGCGTAACATTCGGGCCCGTAAGGCCCGGGCCGGGCCCAGATTAAAGGAGGCCTATTTTCACGGGATATTTTGATTATTTAAGGTTCTAACACTACTTCTGTAAAGGGGGTTCGCATTCACCATTTCACATACACGTTTCGCGGGCGGATCCGCTCTCATTTCGTTACGCTACTGCTGACAACCTTACTATTAATTTTGCTTTTATTGTAACAGATGAATGAAGTCTTAGAAAAAATTCACATACATGTACATTATTTTACACCTTGCCAGATGATATTAAATTATTAAATTCGATAAGCCCCTAGTAAAATCTTTTCTGCGGCTCAACTGTTTCTATACAATTAGAGACTATACCGAGCTTCCAAAAGGAAAGTAAAATTAATTTGAACAACATTTCGTGTATTATTTAAAATTTGGATTGTATAATTCTAAAGAACTTGTAACAAGTATTGTACTTCAGCTTCTGGGTCAATGACCCTCATTTCGATCAGGCGATCGTCCAAATTCCCTGATCCTTCAGCAAATGCTAAGATGGTCACTTGTTTTTCTTCTGGACATAAATGTAACTTCAAATTAACTTCTCCCCATAACACATCACACACAGTTTTTATTATTTTTTTTTTTTTTGTAAATAAATAAATTTAACTTTTTTATAACACAGAAAATGTGTAATAAAGTTTTTTAATAACAGGCTTTACGAACAAGATTATACCAAATTCATAATAATTAGAATAATAATAATAAAACAAATATAAGTGATAATACCATAAGAAAACTGTTCCAGCAACACTTGTGATCATTGCTCCAATTAGAATCACCCAAACAACTACACCAGCAAGGAACCGAAAGAAGATAATGAGAAGAACTGAGAATCCTATATTTGGAAAAACAAATTAAAGTAAATTTTAAAAGAATTGCAGTAATCTATAACAATAAAATATCTTTGAATGGTTTAAATTCTTACCAAAAGAAATGAGAAAAAGATACAAAATTTCCATCTTACAAATGTCAAGATCTTCTGTAACCTCCTAAAAAATAAAGATTGAAGAGATTGAAGACTGAAACTTCCCTGGGTTCAGTAATTGCAATAAATATAATTATTAATTGTACCTGAAGGTAATCTGGTATGCCAGTTTTTGTAAAATATGTTTTTTTATTTTCTTTTGTTTCTTGTGGAATACATCGGTTCAGTAATTGCCGGCTGTAAAACAAAATCGTGTACAAATATTATTTCGAAATCCTAAATTGAAATGTATTTAACGAGTAAAATAAAAATGTCGAATTAGACTCTACTTTATTAAATGAATTTATCAGGCCTTAATTTTTAGAATTGAAGCTAAAGGCAATTGGCAATATAAAGAAGTAATAACATCCAAATTTGTCTCAAAGATTTTTATGAGAAATTATCACAAATTTCTCCAATACTTATATTCTTTTATCACTCTACTTCAACATTGTGTTAGTTGCTCACTGCATTTACAACGTCGAAATAATTGCACGTATTTAGGTACTAGCACTTTTAAAAACTCAAATATAATTTTTTCTATGAAGAGAAATTTTAGTTACTACATTATTTTCACATGTTCCTTACTTAGAATTGTACTTATTGTAGATACATTAAATTGTATTATGTTTTTTAGTAATGACTTTTACATATATCTTTGAAATAAAAAAAATTGAGTTTTATTTGTAAGTATTGCTCAGGGACTATATACAGCTTTTGAGACATGTTACAAATAAAATTTACCCTTGTTTCATTTCGTATATATTACACACAAGTTCTAATTATTACATTGAAGATCTCAAACAGTAATAAATAAGTAACAGTAAACAGTTATAGTAGTAATTGAAATTCCCTCACAATAAATATACTTACTATCCTTCACATGAAGATACACATTGTCGATCAATGTTCCTCTGATTCAAAATAATTCCATTAATCCCATTAATTTGAAGGAACCTGATAAAATAAAATACATTAGAAGAGAATATAACTGTTTGTATTCTTGATTTTTTTTCTCAAAAAATAAAGTTTACTTTTTATCAGTGTAATCCAATCCTAGGCATGTAATAGTGGAATCACGAGCATTTTTTTTCCCACAAACATTTCCACAGCTGTCATATCCATTTAGTACTCTGTCAATATCACCGTTGTGGTAACAATGTGCTAAGAAGTAGACCTAAAGACAAATAAATATTTCATTACATACAGTTGGTAAAGTACGCTTATTACTGACTACGTTTCTTAGGCAGATTACTTACAGCTCCTCCCAGAAATACGGCAAGTAATATAAGAAAAATTACATCAGTGCAACCTCTGTTTTTTGCACGAGCTTCAAATTCATATGCTGAATTTTCATGGCTACCTTTAAGCTGAAAAAACATAATTTAAGTGTTATGTAATGCATTAATAAGAACTACAAGCACAAAATTATATTAATAGTAAAAATAATACAATGTTTTCTATTCTACTCGTGAAATTAAAGCCAATAGTGTTTAACAATATGTACAAAATGTCCTAATCAAATAGGTGTATCTAAAAACGTTTAACGCTTTTTCTATCCGATTTTTCTTACCACTTCTCCCTTCTGGCCAATCATAAACTGTGGCTCATCTATCTTGGAAGGCGGTATTCATAGATCGCTATATCGATGTCCGCCTATGCATTATAACACAACCTCTTTTATTATAACATTTTCAATATTTGGAGCATTTTTGAACTCTGTTTGACACAGTTTCACTCGTGGAATAGTTCTCTTAAATACCACTCGTGTTTTGGAAATTCTCAGCTAAATCCCCTCCTCGCTTCGCGAGTCGTTTTCCAAACAATTTCCAAAGCACTCGTGGAATTACCTATGATAATTTTAGCGGAATCATTTTCACAATTTCTTCATTTACAACTGGGTGCATTTATTTGCAAATTAATAAACCAGAAAGAATTGAAACAAAAGAATATCAAATAATTTTTATTGTTTACACGTAAGCTTCCGCGGCTCGAATCTATCCGAACTGCCAGTTCGTCACTGCCCTGAGGAAGCCTGCAACATGTCAGGCGAAACCGGCACTCCAGCCAACGACGCGGCGTCTCCCGAATAGACGAGAATTTAATTTTTATTGTTGTCTCATTCGGTTTGTGTCTGAACTGACTCGTAGCTCAGAGATCTCGCCTTTCCCCAAGGAGGTCCGAGTTCGATTCCCGGTCAATCTCATGTGAAATTTGTTCCAACAAAACGAGGGCTAGTCCAATCCTTGTAAAGTGTCCTAAACCCTACCCCTATCTTAATTCCTTCCCAATTCTGGTCCCTGGGTAGTGACGCAGGGGCGCGTAGTAGGAGGCGCGTACGTGGAGATGCATTGTGAGATGCATTACGAGACGTGACATTAAATGACAGATAATGCCAATGGAGGATTACTCCTTTAAATAGTGCTATTTACTCCCAGGCGCAAAGCGTTCATCACAAAACAAAAGCACAATTTGACCTCCGATACTAATGATGGATAAGCTATTTGCCTTATTCGCGTCGCCTCTGCTACAGAGAAGTTACTCTAAGAAGGGACCATTTTGACAGATAGAGAAAGAAAGAAATGTCATGCATGGCATTGCCAGAGATAGTGATGAAGCCATTTACAAAGGTGCTAGCTATAAAAGAACACATTGACAAAATGAGTGTATGGACATAATCTGCAGATGCCAGCAGTGGCTAAGAAGTAGCTGTCACAGGGATCATATCTTAGAGTAAACTCTCTATAGCACCAATGCCATTCTTCTATGTATCCTCGTACGATGAATGCACACCTGACAATACGAATCTGGGTACCAATATGAAACAGTTTTCATTTTTAAAAGCGCGGGTCAAACTAGTTGATGCAAGAATGAGGAACAGCACAGTAAATATTGAAAGAAGAGATAACGAGTAGAGAAGTCATGTGCGAAAGTTAAATGTTACATCATTAAAATGCAAAGGAGATAACGTGTGACTATTCCACTCGTGAAATTAAAGCCAATAGTGTTTAACTGTACGTACAAAATGCCCCAATCAGGGCGATGTATCTCAAAAAGTTTATTGCTTTTTCTATCCGATTTTTCTTACCGCTTCTACTTACTGGCCAATCATAAACTGTGACTCGTCTATCTTATTAGGAGGTAGTTCATATCAATCGCTATGTTGATGTCGAATAAACAGTGTATGTACTATAACATAACATCTGCTTGTAACACATGCTTTCAGTTAATTTCAATGTTTTGCACATTTTGGAACTCTGTTGGACATAATTTCACTCGTGGAATAGTCCTATTAAATACCACTCGTACGTTGGACATACTCAGAAAAAATTCCAAATCACTCTTGGTAATACCTATGATAAAGTTTACATGAGTCCGTCTGAATAACTTTAATGGATTCTAGAAGTGTGTATTGAAATAAAACATATTACGCCAGTAGATGGAGAATTTTGACTGTGAACTTCTAAGATACAATAATCCATTACATATAAAGATTGTGTGTCCTCCTAATTAAAACAACATGTAATTGCATTAAAGGTATTTAATAGTATATATTTTAGATATTCATTTTCTTTTATTTGAGTGCAGTTCAATTAGGTTCCAAATTCTGCCCCCCGCCATTTGAAAAAAATCTATATTTAAAAAAATACTGCAATTGAGACAGATCAAATAATATATCATAATTATTAAAGGGGGAAAAGCTGAAGAACATATTGAAGTCAATTGAGTTTTTAAAACTCGATTGACTTCCATACGTTATAAAATTAAATTAGTTTTACTTTGAGTGTGTGCTACTTCGATCGATCCCAAAAGTACAGTATATTTATCAAAATTCGAACATAAAAATTAAATATGAAGTTAATGAGTCTTACCCTATTCAGAATTGTCAAGAATTGCAGAAGCAATCTCGTAGTGAATGGTACTTTCACTATTTGACTAATGGATTAAATGTTGCAATTCGAACATTAAATATCCACCCGAACGAATTATCAATATACGAACATAAAAAATTAAATACAAAGTTCATGCTTTTTACTCTATTTATAATTGAAAAGAAGTGCAATTCAGAACTTTAAATATCGCGGCATTTTTGCATGTAATCATAAAGGCTATTCTATGTTACACTTATCATACTTCTAGATTTAAAGTTCGGGAAATGCTCCTACCATTCGTATGCAGAGAATATTCAGAAAATACAATATATCGAAGAATCTCAAATGTAATAGTATTTATACGAATGGATCAAACAAGTTTAATTGTAACATCAACAATTTAAATTGTAATATTTCTAATAGTGACTAAAAGGTTCGAGTAGTTTTTTGCCTTACCGGTATCTGACTTGTGTTGGCTGGCTCCACACGATCAGACGAACTGCAACAGCTCCCCATTGTCAATTTTCCAGCTTACACAGTTACTATCTGAAACAAAAACAATATCTTTAGTATTTGAATATCGTAAAACTATCCACCAAAACCACCTAAATTTCTCATAGGAATATTTTATTATTAATTTAAAATCGAAATGGGTATCATTGATCTAAAATGCTGTGTACATTACCCGATCATGTGAACAAGTGACTTAGTTTCAATTATTTCCGCTTCTGCTTTTTCGGAAAATTGTTCAAGATGATATCTTTTTGAATGCGAGAGGAATGTAGAATGAATGACAACAAAATAATTATTTTCAGGATGAACTACTGGAGCTATAACATCACATACTTTCTCGAATTATTTCTAACTTAAGCAAATTTCTGAAAATTCAGAGGGTTCAACAAAAAGTAGACCTGCGCCATTCTTTTATCCGTTCCTTGTTGTACCAGTGGAAAAAATCGAAGAAAACAATTGGAGGTTTAAGAGATTATTTAAATTTATTTCATTAACATGAAGCTAAAATTGCGCGAAAAAACGTCTCAAAAAATTGTACATTATCTTTTTTCAAAGATCTGATTTTTTTTAGAACAGATCTTATTTAAGAGAAAAACCTGTTTGCAAATTTAAGTTTTGCAATGTTACCATTTTGCAATTTTCGAAAATTCACAGAGTTTGGAACCAGCACAATATTTTTACCGTTGTTGATACATACGATGAAATTTAATGAACATTTTTGAACCGTTCTTGAGAAAATAATTGTTTTAAAATTGCCTAAATTTCACGTATATTTATGTGGAAACTGCTCATATTTTCGAAAAACTGTACACCGCTTTATTTTCAGATGTCTTTCAACAACAGATTTTATCAAGGGAACCATTCCTATCTTCAATATTGTAGTTGTGGGAAGACAGTGAAAAAATGATCAACTTTTGGAAATTTCTCGAAAGTATCTCCCCAAACGGGGCACCGCTCCTGCCTCTGGACTCTCGACTGATCTCCCGACATGTGTGATAGTGTAGTGCATGTAAATGTAAATTCGTGTATGTAAGGGCTGAGGATAGGACAAGGAATGGGAAGGAAAGAACGCGGGGTCCTTGGCCCGTTTGGTAGGGTATCGCATACTCCTGGAATTGATTAGAAAAAAACAAGGAACACTCGAACGACCGCTAGATTTCTCCCCCAGACAGCGTTTGAATTCGACCTCTATGTAGCTAGTGTTGAAAATCCTGCCGCCGTCTGGACTCGAACCCTACGCCCTCCGTTCAGAGTTGCTTAATTATGTAACGATGAAACAGGGTTCTGTAATGGCAAATGCACCTACGTACAATAGTATGAAGTATTGCGTAAGAGCAGCAATGGATAATTTTCTCAAACACGTACGCGAGAGAAATATCGCTTTTCAAAGATCTAAATTAGAGTCGCGTCCGGAGCAGGCGCTCTGTCGTTATCTGGAGATCATTTATGAGAGGGCTCCCAAAAACCACTGTCAACGCTAACATGGATCCAGATAGTGGAAGCGGGGATGTTTAGAAACTTTTGATACAGTGTTTTCTAAAGGGCAAATGTCCTCAGTAATGTTAGTTTGTAGTAATGTAGAGTTTTGGCGGGGGTGGCGCAATGGCCTCATAAATCTCCCTGTTTTCTGTAATGAGGATCCTCTAGCGCTGATAACGGAGAGACAGCCCAGAGACTTTGCTGTATTAACTTCACGTTACTTTGCAGCTCTACTTCTTTCATTAAACGTATTTTCATACTTCATCGGACTTGGTCTCTGTACTTGAAACCTCGCTCTCTCCTTGAAACCACCACTCTCCTCCAGGAAACTTAGCTTCCCTACTAACTCAATATTTGTGCATCCTGTACTGAAAGCATTTATAATTGCATATAATCACTGCTAGTAGCACAACATCTGCAGCAAAAGGCATTACAGTTCGCGGGATTCCTCACATGACTGTTCGATATTTTTTCTTGTTTTGTCGATCTGAAAGAAGTCCGGTAGCATTTCATCTCCTACAATCGAAAAAATGTTTTCATATCCAGAATTCGCTCTGTATATTCTCGAGAACCTACTCGGACTTTTTAGTCCCGTTTTTAATTTCTTCTTGCAATCGCCCCATAGAAGTTGTTCCTGTGCCCCCTCTACAAGTTTGTCGCGTAACCCTGAAGATACACTTTCCACAGATTCAGAAATTGTAATACGGGGGACCAATCATACTAAGGAAGGCAACTCATCACACATGAGGCCCAAAATCTGACGTGTGTGTACGTCATATAGTTCACAATTTTTAACACATACTCGCTGATAAATACGAGAATGCCGAAGATGTACGAGAAGCTGGCAATACAGGACGGAGCTTGACAGGCTTTAATTCCTTCATTCTCCCTGTTTATATCTTCTCTAAGTCCCCTCTCATTTACAAAATAAGGGGCTTCAAAGTGGTCAATAGATTGTCTCCTGTCTTTTGTTCACCTATGTCATATTAATCACAGACGTACAGATAGGGGGTTCTGAAAATTAGAAAAAGAAGAAACATAGTATGATAATATGCATTGCGAATTACCTCGTTTTCGCAACGCCCTTCTGTTATTAAATCAGTTCCTACATTGGAACAAAGATAATATTGTTGTTTTCAACTGTGCATGGCACACACAAGTTATTAAATATTGTTAGGCTGGAAGAAGTGAATTGAGTCATTGTCGTATAAAAACCAAACTAACAGATACTCTCCGATTTCTTCTAAAAAAATACGAGAGGAATGTTCTACGCCTCCTGCATCCATTCCAGAAGTTATTTCAGTTGCACTTAAAAGGAGTTTATGTGCACGTCACGCTGAAATTGAGCAACATATGCTGCATAAGCACATGATTTCATGGAGGATGATTTTTTTCGTATTACGTTAGCTCGGAATGAATTATAATTATGGTTTTCTTGACATTTTACGAAGCCTACAACAAACCTTTTTTTTAACAGTTGAATACGAGGAAGTTTAAAATAGTTGAATACTATGGCAGTTTCAATGATATCTGAAATATGCAATAGCCTCTCTCCCGAGGCAGTAGTCCCAACCCCCATATTGGCTCCATTTTACAGCCACTCTTCTCTATATCGACATTGCGCTTTTGTGGTCTTCGATAGGTTTATATTCCGATCCCGGAATATCCCCGGTTCATCCCCGGATGAGCTCGTGGCGCGGTGTTGCAAGACTCACAATCCCTCGCAGCTGAAAGAGTTTCCTGTTGGATAAGATACCGTCATCGGAAGCCTTAATCGAAGTTTATGCTCCATCAGTGTCTGTTGTATACATATACTTATTGTCTTAGTAAATAAAATTGTTATAGAACCCTTAAATCATTTCTTCGACGTATGATTGTACCTGGATCTCAAGCTCGTTTAGTCATAGTTCAAATAAAATTATTGAATTGTAACGTAGTATTATAATTAATTGAATAAAGTTAAATTGGGGATATGTGCGGCCCTCAAGCTATTGGGGTGGTCTGACAATGTGGCCAGTTATTACAAAAAAGTTGCTGACGCTTGGCCTAAAATAAGCTGATAGCGTTTGTGCTGAAAATTCTGATGAAGAAGCTCGCAGTCTTTCTTGGCCAGAATAATGAATCATCTGACATACATAAACCGGCTTTTCCAATAATAAAACAAGACAGTAGTTCACATGTTTTTACCCGGACGGCTGATAGTACAGTTTGACAGAGGCGCATTACGTTGGGCAGACGGTGGCGGGGTTCCCCTCTCTGATTAATTGATTGATCGATCGATTGATTGTTTAGTGCTTCCATGCGACTTGAGGGGATTTCCCCAAACAGGTATCTCGCACCGCCCCAGCCGGGACAAACTCCCGTCTGGTCTCCCAATAAGTGTGGTAGTGTAGTACATGAGAGTGTAAGATTGTGCAAGGGGTGAAAATAGGCCAAGGAAGAGGAAATAAATATCGCGCGCGGTCCGTCGCCCGTGAGTGTGCATTCGCCGGTGATGATCGGAGAAACCACAGAAAATGTCCAATCAGAGCAGCCGGCAGCTAGAATACTCCTCCAGACAGCGACTGAATTCGACCTAGCTGACAAACTAGTGTCGAAAATCCTTTCACCGTCGGTGCTCGAACCGCAGGACCTCTGTCAGAGTGCAATGCCTTTCGCTGCAGGTGTCGTGCTGCTAGCAGCGATTGCAGGCAATTACAAATGCTTCCAGTACAGGATGCAAAAATGTTGAGTTCGCAGGGAAGCTAAATTCCCTGGAGGAGCGTGGTGGTGAGCGAGGTTTCAAGTACAGAGACCAAGTCCGATGAAGTATGAAAAGTTTAATTGAAAACGTAGAGCTGCAGAGCAGCGTGAAGTTGACACAGCAAAGTCTTTGGGCTGTCTGCCCGTTATCAACGCTAGAGGATCCTTATATGGGAAAACAGGGAGATTTATGAGACCATTACGCCACCCCCGCCAGAACTCGGCATGTCCTGGACGCAATAAACTGACACTACTGTCAGAGGACATTTGCCCTTTTTAAAACTCTGTCTCATTAGTTCCCAAACATCCCCGTTTGCACTGTCTGGATCGTGTTAGCGTTTACGGCAGTTTGGGAAGCCCTATCACCCATGACCTTAAGATAAGCAGGGCGCCTGCTCCAGACGCGACCCTAATTTAGGTATCTTTGAAAGGTGATATTTCTCTCACGTACATGTTTGAAAGAAATATTCATTGCTTCTCTTACGCAATACTGCATACTATTGTACGTAGGTGCATGCTCTGAGCCAATGAACCAATGCGCGTGGCGAAGGGAAGTGGTGAGTCCGCCGCAGGGCCCTGGGCCATGGCCCTAGAGCCACTGTGTTGGGGCAGGCCACATTTAGAGCGACTTCCGAATCTGAGATGCTCGTCTCTCCGACACGAACTGCTTGCTCTAAAGCCGACGACCCCAGGTTTATTCCTCTTTCTGTCTTCTGCATTGCCGAGCTATAAAAATGAGGATCGATTCCCGAGAGGATCCATAACTGACTGGCTACGCTTCTATTGCACAACCTCACGATGAAACAAATCTCAATAAAATTTATTTCGATTACTTAAAAAAACGTGTAACGTAATATATATATATATAT